CATGAACTGCTAAACGTGAGTTTTGCGGGGAGAGGGGAAATCAGAAGGATGCTTACTGGAAATGGTGTAGTAGTCTAGTTTTAAAATATTGATGTATGATGAAGGAATACAAATGAGGTTTGACAGAATTATATCAAATCTTTAAATACGTTATTCAATTTTATATATATATATATATATTAAATCCAATCCCAAACCGTTCAGATCCTTTGTTGTCAAGAGCTGCAATTTAAGATTATTTCCATTATTGATATCAGTAATCTCACAATTATTTTCTTGATTCATCAGTTACTCAGAAAGAAGGGAAACATGTCTATCACAGTTTCCTGGAGCTTAAAACAATGGCTTCAAATGTCTTGTTTGTCTGATCAACAGTTGAAAATCAAAATGCATACATTTTATTGTCATAGAAGACTCAGAAAACCATAAAAATACCCACATTTGAGAAGCTACAAGTAAATGTTTACCATTTTTAATGGATTTTCTAAATTGTTAAATATATTTTGTATTGATATGAAAAGATTGATTAAGTAACAGAATTTAATACAAGGTTAAGAAGTAACTTTATATCTAAAAATGTATAAGGACTGACATTAAAGGACCAGAGCTCAGATTTTGCCAGATAGATTACATACATTATGCTATTTTGCTACATCACTATGAGAATGTTTTGAAAATTGAAAATACAAGTGATTTGTTGAACTCATTTAACCAACTAGATCCAAAATGGAACCCACTATCCGAACCCAACCCTCCCAAACACTCACAGCGTTCAGCTTCTGAATGTCTTAAATATTGATTTTGCATCTTTATTTTTCTCTACACATGTTTACTTTGTGTTATTTTATTCAACACCACCTAAATTTCCCTACTGCTAAAATTCTTCTTCTTCTCACAGCCTTTTTTTTTGGTGGCATCTCTCCAATTCATGTGTCAGAGTGTTTGCACAAAGCACAACACCTTCCCTTTGTAGTGTTTTAGGGGGCGTTACCTATGCTAATCAACAACCACAAGCCTCCAATTTATGATCAAGTGGGAATCATCCCCCTAACAAGACCAGATCTGGATGGTTAAGAATGTCTGGTGCGTCTGGAGTTGACTTCTCTTACCTTTTCTCTTAACAGAAATGTAACAGAAAATACAAGAGACATTTCAGAGAATGTTCATGCCTCTCCGTTCATGTTGGAGGGGATTTTACTCACATTTTCTCTTACCAACAGAAATAAAATGTTACATCAACTGTAAAGTGCATCATTTATACAGGCTGATATGTATCCTTTGAGGTTTGTATTGATAGTGGAGAGAGGGATCCCTCGGTGCAGGAGAAATTATAGAAATCTCTGAAGCTGAGGAGAGAAAGGCAGGCTCCCTTACGGATTATGTTGCCCATTGGAAACAGTGTTAGGGTTATGTAAGGCAGATTACTGTACCTCACCATCACACCACTGGTGGTTTCATCCATGAATCAGCCAGACACAAAAACACAAAGACAAAAGACACATACTACAAGGAAAACACACACCCATGAACACAAATTATTAAATGAGCAATGCACTTTTACTGGAAAAAAAAATGTCTACAAATACAGACATCTCATGCTCCAAATATTTAATCAAAGTGCATTATTGGTATTTCACAGTCTGAAATCAATGATTCATAGCTGCCCCAAAATAAACACAAATCATGTGTTTACCCTTGAATGCACACAACAGTAATTGAAAACAATAGAGTGCAACTGATCAATCTCTACGTCATTGAATTAATGCAAGAAAGACTTTGGAGTCAGTGACAGAATATAAGCGGGTCAAAAGACTGAAGAGAAGAGTTATTCCCATTATTTCTTTGATAAATAAAAGATAAATAAAGATAAGGTTGCTCCAGCTGTTTGCCAACGCTGTACATTTAAAATATTGATGTAATGGCCAAAGCTTGCATCTGTGCTCTGAACTGAGGTCATTTGGTAGTCATGCAAAAAATCAGGTCTATTGATCTGATATGATCTGGCCAATGAGATGAGGCTACAGTGTGTAACTAAATCCCCCACATGAGTGCATGTAGTGGATATAAAATCCACTGGGGCCTGACTTGCTAATGTGATTGCATTCTGTAAGGACATTGGACATGTGGAGGCAGACACAGAGACAATGAAATGTGGCATTATAGCCTATGGGATTTGTTCTTTGACATTGGTAACAGAGAGGAAGGCCTTGCAGCAGCAGCACTAGGCAGGCCATTATTGCATATGGAAATCAAATAGAAACACAAGGATATCTATCATATATATCCAACATAGTCCTGCCTCAAGGCAAAGCCGGTCTGAATATTCCAGCAATAAATAAACAACCTTGGAGAAAAATGCTATAGCTGTCACTAATTCTGCAGAAGTTTTTGATCTCTGGTAACAGCAGATTACCATTCGCAGTTGTGTTCAGTCAGATTTGTCATATTGTGTGTCGCAGAGGCCACATTCGAGTCGTTTGAAACAATATCAATAGGACTTCCGTAAATCATTGTTCGGCAGCATGCCCTTGCCTGCTTGGACTCAACAGGGCGTGGGCCTCACACAGAGAATGCGCAAGGCGGCTGCCTGACGCGACAGCTTACGATCAATCATTTGTCATCTATTTTACCGTTTACCCTTCTTAACACTTAACAATAATGAAAGCTGTCTTTCAAAAACAGTTGTCTTCAAGGAACGTATCAGGTCTAAAACACAAAAAAACTGACCCTGATCAGCTGCAGCACCTATTGGCGCGCAGGGTGGCAGCAGCAGGCCCGGCAGGTTATTCAAAAACACCCATTAGGCTACTACCGAAGGTATTGGATGTGCGTTTTGTTGCAGTCACCAAAACAAAACGGATAGAAATGTTAGTCATCTTGCTGTCATTTCCTCCACTCATCAACCGTGTGCGTCGTCCCCCATCACCCCCCACTGTCGCTCTACATGTCAGCTCTTACCTGCAGCCAGGAGGAGAGAGGGAATGGAAAGTGGATAGGGAAAACATCTCAGCCCTGTCCGCCATCTTCTTCCACAAATGACTCAGAGCAACTGCAGAAAATCACAGAGGGAGTGCAGTCCATTCACAAGCACAGGGCAGAGGACAGACGCAGCCGTGGACAGAGACGTCTCTCTCCGCGGCCCCACAGATGCCCCCCTGGCCGCAAGCCTTCAATCAGACGAGCCTGCTCAGCACCATCAAATCTGCAGTAAACCATCCACACAAGCAGGGGAGGGGAGGGTGTGAGGGCAGAAGGGATCTTCAGAGATCGTGCACAACACCGCGGAAATTAAAATGCAATCCTGTTCCCCCCCCTCCCCGATACGTCCACGCAAAGCATACGCGTGCGGAATATGACCGCAGTCGTCTTTATCCTCGTCAAATGTCTGCTGCTGTGATGCTGCATGTGACACACAACGGATACGCGCCAGCAGTGCGGAGACCGGCAGAGAGAGGGGTGGGGGGGGGGGGGTGCAGCAGAGACGATATAACGTCAGTGCCGTTACCGTTTGTGCAGGCTGTCCTGGGTGGACATGTAGCTCAGCAAACCCGTTGCGTAAAAAATAATTTGCGTAGAGTTTTAACATTACAATGAATTATACTGACAGTCAAATAAGCAGCCAAAACGTGCGTTGGAAACTTGCTTTCCAAAGAGTATGGGGGGGATCAGGGCTTCCCCGGAAAAGACATGCGTTTCAATTGTATTCACGCCCGTGTTTTAGTATGGATACGAGTGACTCTCGTTTAAATATGCGTTTGGGTTTTTTTGGAGCACATCCCACTTTTGTCAATCCTGATGTCCATAAACACAAAGACAAAGAGACAGAAAAGAGAAAGTGTTGCAAGCAGGAGAGCACAGAGCAACATAAACTTTACCTAACGAAAACAGGTCAGCATACTGAGCGCAAAGGCAGACAGGATGAAACGTAGCTACAGTGGCAGGGGGAAGTGCCCGAAAATAAAATGCTAAACGAAAATCCCACAGTGTAAGATACAAAACACGTTTGGTGCTGCATATAAAACGACTGTTATGCTTTAGTTTCACTGTGGAATAAGGAATTAAAAACAATATATGCCACTTTACAGTGTTTATACTGCAACGTATATGTTATCATAAAAATAATAATATATGTGGTATTATGGAAGGTCTAAAAGCACGTTTTCATTTCCGGCATTCAATTATCATTCATTTTGGACATTAGAGTTACCATTCATCACAATAAGCCATAAAGAATACAGCCCTATAGTTAATACCTTTTTTTCTCCAAAAAACAGTCTTTCGGAGAAAAATACATTAGCATTAATTACATTGAGATTGGCATTACTTTAATTAAGCAGATGGTTGCAGTTTTCTTTTCCTTTTATTTACCACTGGATCACAGTGAACAATCAATCAGTGAATCACACCTAAGACTTTAAAGGCGTCATGTTGTACTGTGTTGTATTGTGTTGGACTGTGTACATGTTGTAGTGTGGAGCTGTTCACAGGCTGTGGTACTGAAGAGTACTGTATATTGCTCAACTGCAGATTACCATCTTTGCCACATGGGGGCGGTACATATTAACTCACTGATTGAAACGCTGACGAGCCTTTAACAAAGCAATTGCATATTGCTCTTAGACTTAACAGGATTTACTAAACCATTAAACCAACAAACAGTGATGAAGTCGTTTTTACTTTCAACTTTCATTTTTATTAATCATTTGTCTTATTTATTCAATTGGCTATTAACTTTATGATGTCTACTAATAAGAAATCATAGTCTATTTTATTTTTCTAGTTATTTACTTATGGGTCAGCATCCAGTTTAAGAGATAATAGCAAAAGGTTTGCCTTTTCTGTGATGGTTCTATCCAATGAATGTCACAAGCTTCTCACCCACTTGCATTTGTATTTCCATCAAATGGTAGGATTTACAGTCTAAGAACTGGAGAGATGTGTTCCATATGTAGTATGCAGCATTAAACAGATGACAAAATAAAGCAAGTTACACTTTAATCTTCTTCTGGTTCTTACACTTTTATTATGTTCTTGATATGTCAAATGTTGATTACAATTAATGAAGTAAATGTGGTTACTTTCAACTATTAACAAGAAGCAAGTGAATAACATACAGACAGTTCTGAACCATTGAGGCTGTTTATTTTGATGGCCATAGCCGTTGCAGGGAATTGAGTTAAACCACCCTCTCTGAAATGGGGATGGGACCCAGGGTGACATCACCTTCCCATTCGACAACTAGAAAGTAGGACAAAAGACATGTGTCACATTATGCACCACTGTGATTGTCTCACTTATCATGATGATGGTAACATAACATCAACAATGGTGTAAAAAAATATGTTGACTTCAATATCTAATATTAAATGCTTTAGGCAATCTATTTTTCAGTAACATACCTTCACTTTCGAACACATCACGAACCTTCCTTCCAGGAGTTAGCCTGGTGCTGGTGCTGATGCTGGTGCTGGTGCTGGTAAGTGGAAGTCCCAATCCGGGGACTTCACAGCTGCCACAAACTCCATTAATCCCGCTGGCCTCATTCCATCTAAGAAAGAGAGATGCAAGCAGTAAATACCATATCAATCCTCCAATCACACTTTATCATGCACACCTGCAGACTCACCCGTTGTTCCAGGAACAAGCTCTATGACTTTCATCGATGAGATGGGTTGCACATGTTGCTTTCAAGTGGCAGGTGATGTAGAGCTGTTAGAATAATAAAGGGTTTAGAACATTATTTGATGTATTTCTAATGACTTTGATGTATAACAGAAATTATTAAATGCTCACCATTCCACTGTCAGAACCCTGGAACTTGAATGCCTCCAACTGGAACTGAAGAGCGTTGTCTGCAGACCGAGACATGAACTTAGAGTCAGAGCCTGTGATCCTACCATCAAGCAAACACCTGCGTGCAGAGAAAAAATACAAATTAACATTAGAGGTGCAAAATAAATGTGTTTGTGTTGTGATGATTTGTTCACACTGTACAGAACAACTTCAATTAAACCATTAAAGTACCTTACCCATAGTGATCAATGAAGGCATATCTGGGGCTGGAGGACATATCAGGTGATAGAGTAGCTACGCAGCTGTCCACATAAACACGGAGGGGCACGTGGAAGTACTGCTTGACGACAGCCTGAATATTTATGACGTCTCCCAGGTAATACTGGTAGCTTGGCCTCTCATACTGCCAGTTGTCTGTGCAATGAGATAATGACATTTTAGGCATGTTTACATACATATATACTTAAAATCACAGTTCTACAAAAGCTAAAATGTGCATATAAATTGTTACTCTTACTCACCAGTCATGAGTTTCAGGGTGAAGTATAAGAATTCTTCTGCTACCTTAACCGCAGAGAATGGGATCCACTGGGGATCAAGACCAAGGCTGCTCACATTGTGCTTCCTAAAGGATTAAATATGTTTCCTTAGAATGCAGACTGAAGTAATCCTCACATTATTGTGCATCTGCCATTGGAATGCACTAATCAGATTTGGTGATCATGGTTACTGGATTTGCCAAGGGAAATCGATAACATATCAGTTTAAGATTTTTATGTGACTCTAGGTTATTTATTTATTCATTTTTTTGCCTGTTTATTACCACATCTCGAACTGATAGTCTACATACCTTGGGTAGTGGCATTCAACAATTACAGCAGCTTGGCTGGTCCTCACCACAGGAGAGCCCCCCAGAGGTCGGGGAACATAGTTCAGCATGAAGGTGTAGATGAGGGAATCTTCTGTCATCTAAATAAACAAACAAACCAAAGTTTTAATTAATATTCCTTACAATTTCTTGGTTATTTTTCAGTGACTGGCATCTTCATTGTGCTTACCGCTAATGAGCTGAGACAATCCTGCAGTTCTGCCTCAAAAATGAACACTTGAGCATTATTGTCCTCTCCGACAGCACCACAGTTTCCCAGAGTAAGGTCAGCAGGATTGATGTACTGGCCTGTCCCAAACAGGTCCTTCTTGACTTCCACATGAGTAATCTTCTCTCTGCAATCGACAGCAACAGTTGCAGCAGGAACAGGATGTCTCAGCTCGAAAGGCACATCGACTGGGACCTCAGGCTTGGGATCTGTAGGGTATCTCCAGGTAAGAGGTTTCTCAAATGACTGCCTCGTCTGTTGGAGATCCAGGGGAGGTTTTCCTGGCTTCTGGTATTGAGCATCACAGAAGCTGCCAAGCAAGGTCAGTGCCATAAGGCACACAGCAGTACACTTCATCACCATGGCTTCACAACAACAAGTGACCTGCACAGTTCACTAGGTGCTGTAAGAAAGATGGAAATGTGCACCTACTTTTATAATAGAGTGAGCATGTTTACTTCCATTACATTCCCGCCCCTTCTGTTGGCCAATCCCCATCATATCTGATGAGAGTATTACCTCAGCCAATGAAATTATTGCAGCTGTTGATCAAAAGTGATACAATTCTGATGAGGCATCATTAGCTGGGTTTAGATTATTCATTATTTGAATACATACAATGCCACTGTGCCAAGAATGAACAAGCAGTGTGTAGAAATAAACACAAAACCATTCATGTGCTGACACAAATTAGGGTCATTTTAATTTTAATTTATTTCTTTCATTAAAATGTATTTTTGTTCAAGAAAGTAAGAAAAGATAAAGAGCTGGTTGACATGTACTCAGAAAGTAGCGGTCACAAAAACGTTATGCTGACCCTGGGTTAGGTCTACTTGCCCTCAGCATGTCAAACTCATTTTATTTGCCAAAGTACATTTTGTGAAAGACTGCAAATCAATAAGGCTCCAACCAGACCGGGGGCAGACTTAAATCCATAGAAGGGCATTCGATTTCTGTGAGCAGGCCCAATGTAAACATAAGGGGCACACAAGAATGTTTTGAGCAGGCTGAATATACAAAATATACCGCCGCTTCACACTCGGCTGCAAACCAATGATATGCTATATCATAAGAAATCATAATTATCAATATTAATTCAACATTTACCACTTAGAACACAAAACATTACATAATAAAATGCTTATTATAAACTAGTCAATAATCAGTCAGCAATCAGAGTTTTCTTCCACACTGTCTTCCTGCTCTGACACATCCTTCAAATCACTATCAACCTCCTCATGTTGGAAGAACAGATCAAGGGCCTGTTGCACACTAAATCTTGCTGCCATGATGTCAGTCACTGAAATCACCACCACCCTCCGAACCCAAATTGATTCCAATTTGTTACTTTGTAGATTATGTTATTACATTGCAGTTGCTTGTGCTTGCAGGTGCAGATCCTGTGTCTGTGACAAGGCACCCCCTGACCTCTGGATGACTCCCTTTGTGCACCATGATCACTCCTGTGCTGTTTTACTATTTCACTGTTTCGAGGCTCCCCCATGCCACTTCAAAGACCAGCAGGTGTCTGTCTCTGCGGGAACCTGGGCAAAAGTCGTGGGAACACAGACAGTTCTCGTGACAGTGTCGAGGTCCCCCTTGAACTCTGTCACCACTGTCCCATAAAAAATACACACAGACTATACAGTTTCACAGTTTCAAGATTCCCTAAAACCACCATTTTCCTTGATTTGACCCAAATTGGTAGATCTAAAATCCATCTCAATAGATACGGGTCAAATTTGACCCGAAACAGCCTCAGTTATCAGATATCTCTATTATTATTATTATTATTATTATTATTATTATTATTATTATTATTATTATTATTATTATTATTATTAGGATCTATTATCTATTCAGCCCTACTTTCAACTAAGGTTGTCTTTATTTTATTTCTAAAAAGCAATTTAACAAGTATTTAAAGCTGCAAGCAGCGATGAACGGGCCGGGCCCTCAAGTGGAGAAATGAGGGGCAGACAGAAAGTGGGGTTGTAGACAGACAGACAGGTGGAGTGGATTGTACAATGAAACAAATTAATATAATTACATCAGGTTCATAAAATTTGAATATAAAAAAGAAGAAAATGTTGTGCGATAAAGTATCAAAAAGCAGATGAGTTAATCACATACTTTCAAAACTGGGAATAGGAGAATTAACACATTGCTAAAAAAAATTAGGTTTGTCTTTGTTATGAAACAAAGACGCCTCACAAAAGGTTACAGGTTTAAACTACCAAACGTACAGTTCAGAACAGTGTGTGAGGTTTTTCACCTTTTAACTTGTCGTCCATACTTGACTTACTTTCTCCATATCTCTACAAACCTGATAAAAACATGAACAGTGTTTATGTGAAGAACAATGCAAAAGTCCAAAATAACGGCTTCCTCCTAGCAGGGGCTTGATATGCATTAATTTGTTTACAGGCAATATCTGAGCGGTTTATGTCTGAGCCCATGGATTCTTGCTGAGCATTGGTCTGGTTTAATGTTCATGATAACCCTCTGAAGGAACTCAAAGTAGTACTTCATATTATGCAGTAAGCAGTAGATTGCGCCCAATAACTTGACAATCTCTGAGCTCATGTGGGAAGTTCTTCTCCTCTACTACCACAGCCACATTTGAGACTTCCAAACGAAACACATCATGCAAAAGTCCTTTGTGTCAACAGTCCAACCTGCATTTCTTTAATTATGACGTCGAGAGATTCTTCAAAATTCTGAAGAATTATAAAGACATACACGTCTTAACTGGCACAGAAATCAGTATGTTATATATACCCCATTGTTATGTGAAGAGACAATAATTCATGTTTCATGTTACTATGGTTGCCATAGTCACATTTCAACTTAAAACAAGTGAGTGTAGTAAATGTGTTAATACAGTGTTTTACATCACACATCCGGATTATGTCAAAATAAATCCTCTGAAAGACAGCAAGGAAGACCAAGAATGTAACTTTCAATAATGGTCATCGTAATACTACGTCAACTTCTCTACATGTTGCTTGTTGGTATTGCGAGACTATTTAGTTTGAGTTACATCTAAAGTCATGAATATATTACTATCTAATATGTGAAATGTGGATCCTGTCAAGCTATTCAACATGGAAAGACTTGCTATATACCCACAGACTGCCTGCTTACTCCAACCACTTTACTTATTCTTTAAACTGGACAAATTTAAATGCTAATCTAGGTTATTCTGAATACTTCTCGATTCAATTTGATTTTAAAATCTAAATTTTCAGCAATGGTAAGTACACTTAGTGAAAAGAAGAGGTATTTGTTTTATCCTGCTGCACAAATACAGCGTGACCTGCACATTGTAGGTCATACAGACCCTGTGAAGGTTCTTCTTTGGAAATTGCATAAACAAGCTGGAATTTCTTTCATTCAGGATCAATAACAATCTGCAAGCACTTTGTAACAAGCATGTATTACATACGAATCAATAAATATTAATGTCCATGCAATAAGAAGTTTACAATTATGTGTACTGTTATAATCTTTTAATGCAATACCTCTGAAATTGCTGTAATTTGTTCTGTGTTCTCACTTTGTTTTGGCAAATCTCTTCCTTGCATCACCACACACCAAACAGTAACTGGAGCATTTGATTGGCAGTTGAGGCTGGCAAATCGGGTGCGGGTCATCAACAAGTCAACATGACCAATACCTTATAAAAGTCAGGGAATTCATATATTATTCACAGCATCTGGTGTTCACTGTGCTGTGAAGCCATGGCAATGAAGTTGATTTGTGGTTGTCTTCTGGCAGTTGCCATGATTGGCTATCTGGCTGATGCTCAGTATCAGCCAACTAAGCCACAGAATCTGTGGCCCCCGAAACCTCAGGTGACTGCACTGAATCCGTGGCCCCCGAAACCTCAGGTGACTCCACTGAATCCGTGGCCCCTGAAACCTCAGGCGACTTCGCAGAATCCATGGCCCCTGAAACCTCAATTGCATCCGCTGAGTCCCCAGCATCCTCAGGTGTCTCCGCCGTCTCCGTGGAAGCCTCAGGTGTCTCCGCCGTCTCCGTGGAATCCTCAGGTGTCTCCGCCGTCTCCGTGGCAGCCTCAGGTGTCTCCCAAGCCTCTGCATCCGACAGACACAGTTCACAGTTGTGAAGTGGCTGATCAATACAAGATACCGTGTGGAGCTAGTGGCACCACTGCTTTAGCTTGTGGTGCTCTAAACTGCTGCTTTGATGGACAAAGTTGCTATTATGGCAAAGCTGGTAAGCATTTTTCTATTCCTTTCAGAATTACATAGATATCTACAAAGAGAATAGCATGAGCACTCATCTTTGCTTTCAAATTTGTTGTTCTCAGTGACTCTTCAGTGCACCAAGGACGGCCAAATTATTGTGGTGGTGGCCAGAGACGCCACACTACCCTACCTCGACTTAGACTCAATTTCTTTCCTTGGAAATGATGAAAACTGCAGTCCTGTTGGCACCACTTCAGCTTTTGCCATATACCAGTTCCCTGTCACTGCCTGCGGCACTGTCAAGAATGTAAGGGTTGCAACTCATTTGACTGTTCAATTTGATTGGTATTCATTTTTTTCCAGTAGTTATAAAGATTGAAACACTGTCAATTTACTGTAGGACGAGCCTGGGATTCTTATCTATGAGAACAGGATGTCCTCCACATATGAAGTCGCTATGGGACCCTACGGAATAATTACCAGGGACAGCCAATATGAGTATGTTTTTCTTTCTTTCTTTAACACTGAGTGGTTACAACATAAAATATTGTGACTTCTACTGCTCAGCTAAGGCTTTAAGTTTTCAGACAATTCAGTGGTATCCAGAGGATACAGTAAACTGACCTTGAAGTCACTACAATGGGTTAGGTTTAGTTAATTGTGACATTTTAGAAGGCAAACTCCAATGGTTTTCTGACTGACTGACATAGACCTCATTCCTTGTCTCAGGCTGGTTTTCCAGTGTAGATATGTCGGCTCCTCGATTGAGGCTCTGGTCGTTGAGGTTGGCCTTGTTCCTCCACCACCCCCAGTTGCAGCTCCTGGACCTCTGCGCGTGGAGCTGAGGCTGGGCAATGGACAGTGTACTATGAAGGGTTGTATGGAAGGTCAGTGTGAAGGAGATACATTTTGTGCAGTTTCTTTCATTTTGCTGTGAGTGTGTCATCACCCATTATTTCTGCTTGAGCAGAGGACGTGGCCTACAACTCCTTTTACGTGGATTCTGACTACCCCGTCACAAAGGTGCTCAGGGATCCTGTGTACGTTGAAGTCCGAATGCTGGAGAGGACTGATCCCAACCTTGTCTTGACTCTTGGACGATGCTGGGCAACTTCTAACCCCTACGCTCATAGTCTTCCTCAGTGGGACTTGCTGATTGACGGGTAACACTGTTGATTTTACTTGAAAATAGTGATTTATTGTAGATTTTTTTTACATTATACTCAATCCCTATTCTACACTCTCTCTTCTTGCCACAGCTGCCCATACCGTGATGACCGTTACCAGACTGTCTTGATCCCTGTGAATTCCCCAGATATCTTGTACCCAACCCACTACAAACATTTTGTTTTCAAGATGTTCACATTTGTAACTACTGTAGCTAACCATCCTAGCAAGAAAACGACTGCAAATGCAGAGGTCATGGTTCCTCTCCACGAAAAGGTATAGGATCCAGCTATCTAAGAAAAAAGTTTTTAGCTTAATTAAATTTTTTATATTATTTTCAATATCACCTTATTTCATTATTTTTAAATGATACATTTTGTTTTTTACTAGGTGTATATCCACTGCGACACAGCTGTGTGCCAACCCACTCTTGGAAATAATTGTGAACCCAGGTGCTTCAGAAAGAGTAAGTAGTATGGTATATACTTTGATGATATATACACCATTAATATGGTGTTAGTCTGAAGTCTATTGCCCTTGTTTTTGACTAAAATGAATATGGGGAGCTAAATAGATTATGCTTTTCAAGTGTTATACAGGAACAACACGGTTTGTGGTATAAAAATCAAGAGAAACTGATAGCTGAACATATTCTCACCTAAAGGGTTTTATGTGCATCATCTTGTGTCTTAACCTCAAGTCTGACAGCAACTGACCATTGCCTTGTATTGTACACAGGGAGAGACGTTGCTGCTTTGAGCCATGGAGGCTCCACAGCTGAGAGCACCTTGGTTAGCAGTAAGGAGCTTGTCCTCATCAACGCAAGCAGTATTCAGTAATAGCATGCAGACAGAAATTTATCATGAAATATCTGTTCCAGAAGCTTACTAAACAGTGATTGAGTCAAATAAATCTCTAAGTTGCTGAATTATGTGGTCTGGTCTTATACCATGTCATTCAGATACATTTTTTCCTTGTGACCTCACAGAGGTAGCCTAAAAGCTAATCATATTATGATAGAAAATACATATGACTATGCTTCAGCATGAAGTCCTTAAAATCCAGAAGGTCAGATAAGATGCTGCGTTGTGTTCTGACAGTAATGTGAGGGAACCAAAATAAAGAGACAATTTAGTGGCTGTCAAAAAGCTTTCCATTATGGAGTGATGTCAATTTAAATTTCTGAATAAACTAAAACCACTAATTAAATAAACCAGCTGACTTAGCCCTACCTAGTTACATCTTGCATTAAGCTAATAAAACATTAAAGTAATTTGTGGTTGATTGGAATATAGAACTTGTATATTATCCTGTGTTTTCAAAGTCTTTAAAGGACAATGCCAGTGTTCTTGAATGCCTTTGCACATTTAATTACCACTCATGCTACACCTTAAAGCAGTTAGGCCTATAATACAGTGAAAAATAAATATGCTTAACACATCACAAAGAACGAAACAAACAGTAATTTGTATTTATTAATGAATACAGTTGTAAATTAAAATATAAACGCATTTTAAGACAATAATTCACAGTAATATGAATAAATATCAAGAAAAGAAGAATTGACATAATAGGTGGTCCAACAATGGTTCCCAACCTTGGGGTCAGGGCCCACAAAGGGGGTGTTGGAATTAATTTAAGGGATCACACTGTGAAAATTAGAGAAAAAAAATGTTTTCATACTTTTCTCTAACCTTTCCCATTTGTTTTTAAAACGGCAGGCCTATATGAGTTTATTAATAATCCAACTCAAAACCTAAAACACGTTCAGAACTTGCATTTACCATAAAACCACATCTCTCAGTGGACTATCGTAGCCTATAATGTTATCTATAACCTTACTCACACACCCATGGTTGTACCAAAAACAAAATTATTCATTCAAGGACGTATATACGCCGAAAACACTCCATTTCCCAGAAGCCTTCAGCATACCGGGAAGCCGAGGTACAAAGTCACCACCTCGCAACGGCCAATGAGCTGAACAGTCGAACGCAGAATCAAACTGTGATTGGACATCGAACACTGAGTGCAAATCACTTGTTATTGCGCGTGCGAATAGGAACAGTCGTCTGTCGTCAACCTCCCCCCATGAGGCTCAAACCATACCGCTATGTTTCGCTTTTCCGGCTAAGTAGCATAACAAGTGAACTGCGGTTAACAGTGCGTCCCTTATGCTGGTTCAGACCGGCATTTCACACCGGTCTTCCTTTACTTTTCGCCCGGAAACTCGCGATGCAGTCGAGTCGAAATGTAACCACCAGCAGCAACTGCGGCGGCACAGCGGAGACGCAAGGTTCGGGCCTTCTCGGCAACATCCCGACTGTCACAACAGAAGCTGGGGGTCCTCCGGCGGAGAAGACACGAGCGGTAAGTACGCTCCTCGTCAACGAGCGAAACGCGAGGACCCCGAGTCCCCTGTTTGCGGGAAACTGTGATGACGACTCGGAGGCAGAGGCGTTCAGAGATGGGAGAACCGAGGAGGTCGACCGGGACACCAGGGGCAGGGCGTTTACTTGGTGCCGTGACTTTCTGTCAGGGACTTGGAAGACCATCAAAGAGCGTGATTTTCAAATCAGCATCGTCAGGTAAATAATGGCAATTGCAGCTTGCAGTAGGCCTACTTCTTTACCTCATCAGTAGGGTGGATGTACATGCGCTAAGAAAGGCTATCTACAGTAAGAACGGTGTGATATGAATGCACTGAGATATATGCAGTAGGAAAAACGTATTTACATGTGTAGCAAGCAGGCGATATACATTTGCAGTTGTATAGATATGAACACACACTATGGGTGTGATATATACATGGACAGTAGTATAAATAAGTAAATATATATATATATATATATATATATATATATATATGGGTTGTAAGGCAAGGCAAGTTTATTTGTATAGCACATTTCAACAACAAGGTGCTTCACATAAATGCATCGAAACATAAGGCAAAAGAAAAGGAGATTTAAAAAAAATAAGAACAATCATTGAAACATTAAAAACAGTCATTAAAACACTAAAAAGCAGTGTAAGAAATAAAATACAGTAGTAAAATGCAGACATTTTAAGAGCATATTCAGTACATACTCATAGTAGTGTGGCACGGCTAAATAAGTCGTGCAAATGATCAGTCACTTGATGGCAAAATAGTTAGATAGAAGTTGATGCCATCGCCCCCAATAAAAGCATTCTAAGAGCGATCTACTGGTGGTGTGTGACTAGATTCTGTGGGGTTGAATTTACTTTGCTCTGATGAGATAACGCTGGTGTTTTTCCTTGGCAGTGGTGGACTGAGTAATCTGCTGTACCTGTGTAGTTTGCCGGACCACGTACACTGTGTGGGAGAGGAACCTCACCAGGTGCTCCTCAGAGTCTATGGTGCCATCTTACAGGTTGGTCTGTCTAGTAGGGGGTCCTCAGTAAGTTATTTCACCATGAATCATGGGGAGAAAATTGTATACCGCCATTGTAGTCAATCTATCGTAGCAGTGTCGTTTTCCTTCACATGGCCGTATGAACTAAAAGAGCATCACACTGTGTCTGACTGTCTTCCTGTGATGCAGGGAGTGGACTCCCTGGTGTTGGAGAGCGTGATGTTCGCAATCCTGGCGGAACGAACTCTAGGACCAAAACTTTACGGCGTCTTCCCTGAAGGACGCTTGGAACAGTACCTTCCGGTATGAATACACATCTAACGTGTAGAGACATAGTGACGCGTATCCTTGACTTTCATAAGATAAAAATGCATTGTATAATTCATTCAACATTAAGGGTTGAACTACAATGTGCAGATTCTATTGAATACATCTTTAAAAATATGTTCACAATACAACAATTATTCTGTCTGTATATATATTATTTTTATTTTTTTAGTTATAGTTATATTTTAGGTATCGTGGATTTTTTTTTACTTTTTTACTTATTTAATATTCTTTACTGTTTATTACTTATTTATAATACTTGTTTTGATCTTGTTTTTACTAAGTCTCTTGTTTGCACTATCCACTATGCTGCTGTGACCCTGTAAATGTCCCCGCTGCGGGACTAATAAAGGATTATCTTCTCTTATAAACTGTTTAGTTGCCTATGTAACGCCATCAAAGCACTATATAAATACAATTTAAAAAAATAAATAAATAAAATAAAATAAAATGTATTATTATTATCACGTGTGTAGATTTAAAGCTCCTAGTGTATTTACTTGATCTAGTTCCTAATGTAGAGGAAGCATCTGTATAATCTGTATTTCTCTGTTTTTACAGAATACTCGCATGCGCACGGATCAACTGTCAAATCCAGCCATATCAACTGAGATTGCCACCAAGTTGGCCCGTTTCCATGAAATGAGCATGCCCTTTAACAAAGAGCCTAAGTGGCTCTTTGGGACCATTAACAAGTACGGACAACCTGAAATCACTCTATGTCTTTTACTAAAGCTGCCTGTTTTTTATTGATTAATCATACTGTGTTTTTTTCCCTCCATCAGATACATGGATCAAGTGATGTCCCTCACTTTCCTGCGTGAAGCACATGTGAAGAAGTACAAGAAGCTGATGAAGTTGGACCTACCTGCTGAGCTGGAGAGCCTCCGGTGAGTTGGGACATTTCACAAATGCTGTTTATTGCATGGAGTGACTTTGTACATGTGCTATACATAAAGCCCTAAAGTTGTGGCAGGTACAGTTAAGGAATGACTGTAACAAGTGTTAACAAGATGGTTGGTCATGTTGCTTACTCTAAGTTACACAATGTTGATGCTGTTCTTACTATTTGTATTTTGTGTATTCACACAAATTTCCATCTAGACTTTAGACAGGGCGGCAGTTTAACCTGTTCAACTACTGACGCTGGAAGGCCACGAAAAACAAACACGATTTATCGTCGTGTCCCAGGTGATCAAAGGAACAGAGGAGGGAAACTAAACAGTTAAACATGTTTGTAGACATGTTTTGCTTCCAATGGGGCTTCAAAGTAACCCATAGAACCTGATTCTGAAATGTGAGACAGCACTTTGGGTACCTTGTTATCTAGCATATGCTCGCTACATTCATTTCTATTCATCCAACATGTGCCGTATTCAAACTAAATGTCATGAAACGTACCCATTGGCACTTAAACATTATGTATATTTATTTGAAAATGTATATGCTACATGAAGAAGGCTATAAGGGTAAGGGTTATATGTATGTATGTAAGGGTTATAGTTTGAGATTTGTTGCCCGCAAAAAAATAGTTTAGGGGGAAAAGAAGCTGCATCTTTGGTTTCAGTCTAATGGCTGACCTTTGTCCCAGTGCCTCCACGACATCAGTCCTCCAACCAGTCTGACCTCGGCAGCCAGCAGAACATCAGTCCGGTGTTTGTTGTCAGTGTTATCTATGAGAACATTTGTTATCTTGTAGATAAGTAGCAGTCTGCATGGAAATACCCTGGTGTATTGCAGCAGTCATCTAAAGACATATCTGATTCGATTACATCTTTTCTTTTGCTTACACAAGAATTTAGATTTTAACCTGTGAATGCAACACTGACAATATCTTTCTGTCATCACCTACTCTGTTCATCTGGCTCTCGTCTCCACAACAGTGCGTTGCTGGCAGCGACTCCATCGCCAGTGGTGTTCTGCCACAATGACGTCCAGGAAGGTAAAAACAGATCCTCGTTCCTCTTGTATCGTCACACCTCTTATCTGGGTTGATTGATCAGCCCGCTGGCTTCACTGTCGCATTGCTTAGGAGAGCAGTATATAACATAAGTCAAAGAAGGCTGGGGTGTAGGTATTAATAGAAATAGCTCACATTCACATTAGTGCTGGGTGGTATACCGGTTATACCAGTTTTAATTACCCGTATGATATGAATTTTTCACATACCGTCATTTTTCACATAGCCGAAACCAACGGCTGTCGCTCTTCAACAGGCAGCGGAATATATTGTTCGCTACTAAGGGCGCTGCAGTCGGAGCTAGTTGTCTTAAGTGTATTGAGAGGGACCCCTCGTCATGGTTATAACTTTATAACAACAATTAATAACCCACAACTAACGCTCTTTAACAGGACAAAACACCACGACACAACAGTTTGTGACACATAAACAATTTGTAACACTAATAATTGTACATTTATAAAATTACACCGCCGAACGGCATGCTGGGTACAGCTCGCTAGCTAGCCCGCTAGCACAACAGTCTGCTAACAGCTGGGAGAGGCTCCGTTGCTACAGTAAAATCCTGTAAAAATCTGACGTCCAAAAGACTATATATTGCAAAGTGTGTCGAGCCACTGCTGTAACAGAGCAACTTTCTCCATCACCTCAGCAGAAAACATGAGTTGGAATGCCAAGAGTGTGATTTCGGTCGTCAACCGGTAACGTTAACGCGAGTGAAGCCAAAGGGTCACACATCGCTTGAAGAGGCATTTGCTCGAAGCGCTGCATATGACAGGAAAAGCAAGCAGCGGAGCGACATTACAAACGCAATAACGATCCATCTATGCAAGGACATGGTCCCGCTACAGACAGTCGAGAAAGACGGGCTCAGAGCAATGATTAAAACACTGGATTCAAGGTACGTCTTACCGGGGCGAAAATACTTCAGCCTAACTGCTATCCCAACATTATACGAACAAACGAGCACACCCTATAGTAAGCAAAGCCTTTATACATGATGCCATTAACATGTTTTTATATTCTATGTACACCTGACAGTAGAGTAAGCCACTATAAACCTATATAAAAACACAGTCAAGGGGAAAAGAAATACAGTGAAACCGCCAGAATCTTACAAAATACCGTGATACAAATTTTTGGTCATACCGCCCAGCACTAATTCACATGGTGACCAGTCTGAATAGTTCAGATATTTGTCAGTATAACAGAAATAGTTTTTAGTTTTAGGCTAAACTATCCGCTAGTCTAAACCGCGCGGTAGGTGAAATAAGAGCGTGTGGATGATGATGATGATGGTGGTTTTCCCACCTCCTTGTTGTGCCGCTGCAGGTAACATTCTGATGCTGGATGACAAGGACCACCACTCAACAGATACACTCATGCTCATCGACTTTGAGTACAGCAGCTACAACTACAGGTAAAGTGTAAACTCTTTTTGTTTATCAACCACATTGATATCTTTTGTTTAGAAACTAGTGGTTTGAGCTTCAATTCTAGATCAACACCATAATGTTTTCTTTTGTGTAGGGGTTTTGACTTTGGGAACCATTTCTGTGAGTGGATGTATGACTACACCTATAACCAGTGGCCCTTCTACAAAGCCATACCGGAGAACTATCCCACCAGAGAGCAGCAGGTCAGTCCAAACCCCTAACAGCTGACAAAGATAGTCCACCTTTCTAACGGCCCCTTCCCCCACTTTCACCCCCCGACTTCCAGCGCCATTGCTCGGACCCCACCCATTTTCAAACTGTGCCTTCATATTGATCTCAAATACAAACTGTAATAGTTACAGTCATGCTGCATCAACGATTTTACCAGTTAATACAAATGTTCCCAATTGTTTGTGTCACTCTGATAAATACTGTTTGATTGTAGACTTGATTTTCCATTTCCCCTGTGATGCTCGGATTCAGTGCTCCGACCACACAGCGCTATCTAGTGGTAAAACATGGTAGCGCAATTTTGAGTTGAAGAGAGGGCTATATCCATTATTTAAATCATAATTTATCTTTCTGTACTTAAGCAATTGTTTTGTAAATTAGATACTGGAGCTTTTTCCCCCCAATGGCCGAAACTAATGTCACTACCGTCTAAAGATAACCAAACTCGAATGGAACAAAACTAAAACAAATTTAGGGATTATTTTTGCAATATTCACTGTTGTGTAGGGCAATAGAAAGGGCTTGAACAAACGAGGATGTAATTAATCATCAATTGATGATAACTTACTACATTTATAAAATGTCGCGAATCATTTTGCTTTTTGTTTCAGCTTCTTTTTATCAGAGGTTATTTGGCAGAGCGGAGAAGACACTCTGACATTACCATGGACCAGACACAGATGGAAGAGGACCTGATAATTGAAGCTAACAGGTAACACGTGGTGTTCCAATGATATACAGCAGCGCTATGTACAGTTAACATTTACAACAGAAGCACCAGAACCCTGACTTTGTTATGTCTCCATCGTTTTTTGCTCTGATTTGTAGGTACGCATTAGCATCACATTTCCTCTGGGGGCTGTGGTCCATCATTCAAGCCAAGATATCCCAGATTGAGTTTGGATACATGGTAAGCAGAGCAACATACTACATGTAGTTCAATACACCAGATGTTTTTAGTAAACCGTGCCTCATGGTAAACCATATTGTTTTGCAGGACTATGCCATGTGTCGTTTTGATGCCTACTCCAAGCAAAAAAAGCTCTTCTCCGGATTTCCACCATGTTGATCTGAATGTGATGTCTATTTTTTTCAACTGTGTTATGTTCTTGAAACTCCGGTATTATGCAGCTCTCCTTATGACAAGCAATGTTGGATGAAGGATGGACATTTAGATTTGAACACAACCCCTTTTATTGAAGCAACTCTCCCCACAGTGGGACATTTTGTTCGAGCTCTTTAGTATTGAATGTTGTTGTTAATCATTTGAGAGGCTCGGTCACTCTGACGGTCGGCTATTGTAATGTTAGCTGCCAGAGACATCCTGTCTTTAAACTTCAGACTGTACATTTTACTGTTCTAGTGATTTTGGTGTGGGTAGGTTTTTGTGTATCTCTTTGCTTTTGTGTTTTTTGTCCTACCTCACATCTTTCTTCTGATGTTTATTCTGTATTCTGATTTTTTTGTTCAAGGTCCAATTAAGTTAAAAGCTTACCCACATTCAGCAAATTATTGCACAAGGGCTGTTTAAAACAGTACCACCGTAGTCAACAATAATGTAAATTTAAGAGAACAGTTACAAAGTATAAGGCAGTTAAGTCACAATTATTGGATCTATTGACTGCACAGTTTAACTGTCTGCCCGTATTCCATTCAGCTTGTATTTTTGTCATTTGTCATTCTGACCTGTTGTATTAGGTTAACTAAAATGTCCATCTGTGCATATGCATGTAACCATCTCAACCTGAAGTGCTTAAATTAGATCCAGAATGAATTAAGATCTATATTACAATAAATTCTCATCATGACTTTCTCTTTGGTGTATTTGAATGTGAAGCGGGGTTTGGACTTCTTCTGATCCCTTTTTTTATATTTCTCAGTAGGATTTCTGTCCTCTTTCCACAACAGACGTATCATTTAAAAACTAATAAACATGTATGCTTAGAACCTGTATCAGTGCTGTACTGTCTTTCTTATATACTACGTATCCTTCTGTAAAAAGATATTTTAACAAATGCATTGATGCATTTTGTCGAACATGGAAGTTACGCTCATAAGATCAAACTTGATTGGCCCATGGTGATGTCAAGAGCAGAGTTTGTTTGATCCCAGAGGGCTGACTGTATGTCCCACCTCCATGTGCCTAAAATAGACCAGCCCGAAAAAAAACTACGCTGCTCGAAGATCAAGGGACACTTTTGAATCGACTGGATCTGTCTCGGAACAAACAGGAGTTCTGAAATTGAAGATTTAATGTTGCTGTTCACTGCACTATTTTCTTTAATGAACCGTTTCTGTTGGCATGTGGTCTTAAGTCTTTAGTCTCAGCTGTTCCACAAAGTCGATCAGTGAGAGCTGCAGCATGGAGAAGGAGACGAGCCGGTGGAACATGGACTGAACTGCTTGTTCGTCCTCGGTCTTTCCATCGAATTGGCTGCTTTAAATTCATCAGGGGACTTGTCTTCCCCTTTTTCAAGCTCTTACAGTGTCATTCTGAAAATGTGATTGGAGCAGTGGTTGTGTGAGAGGTGCATTGCATATTTAGACCTTTGGAGTTCTAACAAATAACACATGCAGGTGGTATAAAAACTGTTGTAATGTCTAAACGTGGATCCAAACAACACTCTGTCAGTGTGATGAATCTCAGGCAACATTTTATGATACTATTAGAGTGGATAGGTTTGTGGGCAAAACATATTCTTACAAGGCTTTGGGGAGCTTTTCCAGCAGTCAAAAGTCATATAGCATCGCCAGATATCACAGATACAGGATCATGCAAAGCAGACTCGGAGTGGAAAACCAATGAGGCTCTTCGCACATATCACCCTGGAGATGGAGACGAAACCACTGTAACGGTCCAAACCAGCACATGTGCATTCCATGTAAGTAACAAAACACAAACCTCCCAACCATACACGTTCATTTAAAAAAAATAATGGAGGCTGTAGAAACTTTGTTTTGCTAATTCATTTTTAAGGTGGATCTTGGGAGACTCTCCGAGTGCAGTGAGTACTTCCGAGCCTTGTCCCGGTCCAGAATGAGAGAGACCTCAGAGAGCCTCATCCACCTGGAACATGTGTCCTCCTCCGCCTTCCACAATCTCCTTGAGTTTTCCTTCCTTGATCAGTTTAAAGTCCCTCAGGAGGAGTTGGGCACACACATCCAGGTATGCACACTATTCGACATCGCATGATTTCCATCAGCGCCGTGATTCACCCCAAAACCAACCAACTCTTTTTTTTTTTCTCCCTTTTAAAACTCTGGAGGTCAGCAGCTATCTCCTGGCCGAGGCCTTCCTCTCAAGGTGCTTGTCAGTCCTCGCAGATGAACTCAGCCCAGGTAACTGTTTGTCATACCTGAGTCTGGCTCAGGAGATCTGCTGTGTGGAGCTGAAGATGACAGTGTTCACCTACCTGAGTAGAAACCTGCTGGAGCTTCCTCACCTTATCAAGTATGCAGCGCTTAACGGTATAATTACATGAGATGAAATCTTTGGACTGTAAACAGGATTTGCTATAAGGACAGAGTTGACTTTATGTTTCTTTCTTGTCCCTAAAACTGATTCACCCCTCAGGTGTCTGAATGATGCAGAGAAGGACGAAGTTGTCCACCTGAGGATTCAAGGAGACAGACGTCTGTGCAGCCTTAGGAAAGAGAACCTGACTTCTTGGAATGACCCAGAAACAGAACGTGCCCGACATATCTTCACCCTAAAGGGGTCAGAGGACAGCGGAGATTGGTATCCAGTTACAGAGCTTCCTTTCAGTGCTGATAAGTGGTGCTTCACTGCAGTTGTCCTGTATAACTACCTGTATGTAATAGGAGGCTACCGCCAGCCTGTTAAGAGAGGCTGGGAGTTCAAGATGGCTTCCTTTAGGTATAATCCCCTCACTCATTCGTGGGCCGCCACAGCTCCACTGCTCAAGGTGAGACAGTCTTCTACCGTGTGAATCAAGCAGATGACCAATCCGTCTCAATCAAAATAAAAGTTGCCTGGCCTTCCGCAGTCATTTCTTTCACACTAATGAAAACTGTCCCCATCTGTTGCATCTACAGCACAGAAGGCACTTCAGTGCAGTGGCCTGTGAAGGTTGTATTTACGCCGTGGGAGGCTGGTACTTGGATTCACTGGTGACCCCAGACTCCAGCACATCTCTTTATACAGCTGTAGAGTGCTATGATCCATGGGAGGACACATGGAGGTTTGTGTCCTCTTTATCAGTTCAGCTGGTAGGTTTTTGGGATGACACTGAAAACACATTTTCTAATTGATGTGTGGTCCCTTCAGAAAAGTAATCCTTTAATTATTTGTTAGTGTATTAGTGATTGAATATGATCTCTGCCTTAGGTTTGTGTATTAGTGACTGAATATGATCTCTGCCTTAGGTTTGTCTCCTCACTGCCACTCAATGACTTCCAGTTCACCATGTCCTTGTCCCATGATTTGCCCCTTGCCACTAGCCTTGGACACTGTCTCTATGTGTTGGGCAGCATCCAGAGGACTGGAGAGAAACTGCTGCTGCAGTACAACACAAGTCAAGGTAAGGCAGAAGAGCACAGCAATGTTTGGCAAGAGGTATATGTTTGTTTTTTTTACAGCCTAGACAGCTTGAACAGACTATTTTCTAACACACTGATCAGGACGTATGACGAATGGTGCTTCTATATTGTCTCTGTCTATTAGGCTCCTGGTCTGAACTGCTTCCCACCCTTACCAGAGCAGATGCAGACCTCCCTACTCTTTACTTCCTGGGTGCCACTGACAGGCTGATTGTGATTGGTGGGAACAACTCAGTGAATGTGGTGACATCATTCTGTGTGCAGTCACAAAGATGGGGACAGGTGCGAAAGAGATATGTTGATGAAAAAATAAAAAAAAACATGGCTACTTCCTCCCATTTAGCAGAGTTATGTGTATCTGAAGCACACAGACGTCTTTCATATTCATGCCTAATATTTTTAACTAAAGTAAAAATGGGTTTTATTCTTTTTAGGTGCACAAGGCTGAGAAAGTGGCATTTGCAGGACAGGGGGCAGTTGTAGACGAACAGGTGCTGATGCCAAGTATAGAGCACAACACTGTTGCAAGGATGGATCTCCAAACCCTCTCCCTCAGAGTTCTTCCTCCTCTACCCATCTCCACCCGCTATGAAGCTGTCTTTTATCTTCACTTTTAATGTTATAGATAGCTCTTTTGCTATACTGCACACAATTTGTGATTGTTTTTTGTGGCTGAATGTCATAGTGCTTAAGCCTTCCTTAAACATAAGAAGATAAACTCCCCTATATGGATTATCATTATCTCTTGTGTTTAAAATCCCAGTCCGTTTGTTTTAAGTTTTAAGGCAGATTACAGTTTGACTTATACCTCAAGCACAGCGAGAAAAATAATTGAAGAATATTGACTTCAGAACCTGAATTCATTGTATATTATAAATGTGTTATAGTCGGGTTCAGTTTGGACTTTGGAAGGCTACTTAATAGACTGCTTTTTAAGAAAACGGACTTGGTGCTGTATAAGTATCTCTGCTTTTCTCCCTTGTATAAGAGATTCAAAATCTTTATTTTTCTTGGTTAATAAGGGTAATTCATGAATAAGGGTATACGTAGGGAATCATGACATTTAAGACCTAATCTAAGACAGGAGTATGATGTCTCCCTTTGTTTATATTTGTGTTTGTGGTTAACATTCATAAAAAATGTCCTCCTCTACTATTTACATTATTGTTTGATTTTAAAGTTGTGATGGTACGACCTAAAATCATTGGTTTGCAAAAAATGTTTTAGTTTTTTATCTTCTCTTTTATGCCTCTAGGCCTGTAACCTGTAACCTCTAAACACATGAATCTGCTGATAATCATCTGAGATTTGTATGCTGTCATTCTGATCACACCATTTCATTTGTATTATCACAGTTAAATACTGCTGGGACTCTCAGTACTTGAAAAGGAAACGTCACATTGCTTTCAGTTACATCCTCACACAGCACTGCAGCATTTTCAGCTGCATAGCAGAGACCTCAAGGCACATGAGGTTAGGCTCTGTATATGTTTGGTGTCTTGTTACAAAATGAAGCATGTCCCGGGTGAGAGAGGAACAGGCAGAGAGGGGAGGGGAGAGAGAGAGAGAGAGTAAGCCAGAGAGTGGAGTTGGGGAAGGAGGAGAGAGGGAGGGAGGGTTGGAAAGCACAGGAGACGACAACTCTGACCTCACTACCTGAGGAAAGCCACATCAAGGGCACTGGAGTCACACAGATCACACAAGCCTGAGTACAGAGGAATTTCATTGCCTGACACAAAGCCACAGCTTTCCTCTGCCTGAGTGGATTATACTGACTCTGTTCTGACATAGGTAAAGTATCTGTCGTATTCAGTTATGCATGTAGGTAGTTGTATTAGCTGCAGGGATTGTTCTACTGGTTACATGTTTTAATTACACAAGAGTTTAATGTGAAAATGATAGATTGGTGAAATCTTTCAGTGAATGTTGTGTTAAGCGTGTATGCAAAAAAGCAGGTTAAAACCATAATGTGGAAGTACAATTATACAATCAAGTGCTGATCAATCCATTTTCACTCTGTGCAGTTCAGTAAAAACAAATGCATACCTTCAAGGTTTTTTTCTCACAGTGTTTTGTAATGCCAAAGGGTTTAGCATTCATCTGTTGGTTGTAGTCTGTGTTTATATTTGCATGCCCATCTGAGGTCTGGCGCATGCTCAGCCGGTGTACTGCTATATCTGGCCATTGAACTTTGTCCCACTTGGTGACTGCTCAGTCATATGACATGGAAAAAGAAATCCTAGAGCTGTCACCCTGTCCATTACATGGAGTGGTTTATGAACTCCAAATATTTCAGTTTAAGATTTCACAAGGGCATTGCATTTAAAAGACAATGACTGAACCCTTCCAACTTTATAATATAGCTATTTTTTTTTTTCATGCTAAAATGTGTGACTCCCATATCAGTGGCCTTCCCTATCACATTATGAGCAAACACTATGGTGCAAATAACGTCCCCACTGTGAGTCAGTGGGGACGTCTTTGAAAGTTTATCCGTTTTTTTTTTCCTCTTTATGTTATAATGTTGGTAATTGTCATTGGTGTAGTACAAAAATGCCGAATTGTAATAGTATGGCTACTCGTTTTTATTAAACTAAGCTCATATAGGCTAACATCAGTTGGCACTTGTTGCCATGGCAACTACACCAGCAGACTAAACTGGGGTGGATGAGCGGCTATGCTAACGAAGACGAGCGTTATTGACCCATTTGGCCACAGGAGGGAGTGGGCCTTCAGGTGAGCACTTCTGTCAGGAGTAAACTAATGCAGCGCACATATGTGTTATCTATCACCACAGGTATAGAGATGTTTTCCTCCGTTTCTTTTTGAAAATATATTTTTCTGAATTTATAAATCCATTGTGCAATGAAATTCGTTGGCATAGCCGTTTAGTCACCCCAGTGTAGTCTGCTGGTGTGCCAACTGATGTTAGCCTATATTAGCTTAGTTTAATAAAAACGAGTAGCCATACTATTACAATTCGGCATTTTTTTTACTAAAAATAAGTGAATGAAAAACTTTTCATTCACTTATTTTTATTTTTAATACATTGCTGTATTTTTCAATGTTCAAGACCACAACTTGAAGTTTCAGGTTCAAATTCGTTTTTCAAATGAACAAAACGTTTGACCTGGATTTAGCTCCATACAGTAAAGCTGACTCTCAATACTGCTCGCTCCACCTACTACTCTGGCATCATCCACTCCGGTACCGCCAAACCCAAGGTCCTCTTCTCAAACCTTTGGAAAATCTCTCCCACTCCTCCACAGCTGAGAAATGTAACTTTTTCCTGTCATTCTACAAAGCAAAAATTGAAACCATCTAGAATCAACTGGTCACTTCCAGACATTTTTGATTAAACCCTCTCCTTCAAACGTCATGTCAATCACATCACAAAAACTGCCTCTTTCGTCTCAAAAACATCGCCCGTCTATGGCCTTCCCTCTCCTCCACAGCCGCGGAAACACTCATCCTCGCCTTCATCACCTCTCGACTGGACTACTGCAACAGCATCCTTATTCCAGATCCACCAAAACCATCAACAAACTACAATACATCCAGAACTCAGCTGCCCGTCTGTTCTCACACTCCCGCACCAGAGATCACATCACCCCAGTCCTTCAAAACCTCCGCTGGCTCCCCATACAGCAAAGAATCCAGTTCAAGATTCTCCTCATTACATACAAAGCCCTTCACAACCTAGCTCCTTCATACCTTTCGCACCTCCTGCAAGACACACTCCCACCCGCAACCTCAGATCCGCCGCCGACAACCTCCTTACCCCCCTACTCTGTCCAAGCACCAGACCTGGGGGGACAGGTCCTTCTCCATTGCTGCCACCACCCACTGGAACTCTCTCCCCCAGCACCTCAGACATTCTCCGTAACTCGCCACTTTCAAAACTGCACTTAAAACTCACTTATTTCATCTGCTTTTAACCTGTGATGCTAGTTATGTACACTTTTGTTTTGTTTCTTAATGTTATAATGTCATCTCTCTGCCTTGTTTAAATTGTTATTGAAGAAACCTGATGACTTAAAAAGTTTCACCTTGATTTCCAGGCTAGTACTTTTCAGAGATGGCTGAGGCGCATCAGGCGGTGGGCTTCCAGTTCACTGTGCGCCCAGACGGTGTGGACCTTAAACTGAGTCAAGAGGTCATCAAAAACATCTACCTGTCTGGAGTGACAGCATGGAAGAAGCGAGCCATTCAATTCAAGGTACAATAGCCAACACTAAAGATCTACTGTTCCAAAATGTTCCAAAATGTGGAGTCGCTAGATAATAAGATTACAAACATGCTTTTGAGTGTAGCATTTAAGCTCTACAAAGGTATTAACAGTTGTGCATTTTCATTCATTCATCATCTGAGCATAACGTAGAAGATGAAGATTAATCTTGTGTTCATATTGAATCTTGTTGATTTCACTCACAGAATGGTGTATTAGCTGGAGTCTATCCTGCCAGTCCGTCCAGTTGGCTGATAGTTGTGATTGCCATGATGAGTTCCTTGTATATCCGCATAGACCCCCCTCTAGGAATGATTGAAGCAATCACGGAAAACCTACCACAGAGGTCAGAGATCTCCTGCAGCCCAGTGATATGTCCCCTCGTTGTTGTTCAGATTTGACATATTCTACTGTACTTTAGCTTTCCATAGATGAGCGACACAGTAAGTCAGCTGTTTAAGAGAAACTATAAAGTTATTGTGCAGTGTTGTGCCTTTTCTGTGCAGAGACTATTTATCAGTGCAGACCCGAGCGGTGCTGAGTGCCATTCTGTTTGCCACTGGACTTTGGCTGTTCCTCATCTACCTCTTGAGATACATGCTCAAAGCTCTGCTCTCCTACCATGGATGGATTTTTGAATCCCATGGCAAAATGAGCTCATCTACCAAAGTGTGGCTGGTACGTTTGTCTTTCACTCACTCTGTCTGAAGCTTTAATCATACTGTGTGTGCCATTCAATTAACTGGCTGCCAGTACATCATTACTATTAGGTATTTGCGTCCCTTGCTCAGTGCAGAGGGTATGTTGATTCCTGATCTGTTATGAAGGGTCATCTAGTATACTATATGTGTGTGATGTTCTGTGTGTTTATTTCTTTGTTACCAGAGCCTCGTGAAGATGTTCTCCGGGCGCAGGCCGCTGCTCTACAGTTTTCAGGCCTCCTTACCCAGGCTCCCTGTGCCCAGTGTGGATGATACAATTTATAGGGTGTGAAACTACACAGTACTGACCTCCCATGACCACAGCAAGTGAATGTGTCATCCTGAAACGAATGACATGGAGACGCACTAAATGAATGCATGTTATTAAGTGTTACCTGACATCTAAACATCCTTATTTGTCATGATTTCACAACCAACAACACATTTCTGATTACCATTTCTAACTGTTACACCTAAACCTATCTAGCACATCAACTAAACCTACACTTTTCCAACTATTTGATATATGTAGCTTGTTAGACCATACAGACATAGTTCGACTGTACCACCATCTAGCTCCCTTCCCTTCCTGCACCCTGTGAAAGCTACAGTAGTACACTAGTAGATACAAACCTGTCACGTCCCCTATGCTGCACATGTGCTGGATGTCTTTCAGGTTTTCTCTTTGTGTAGCGCATGCTGCACTATATCAGCTTTTTCACTGCTCCTTTGTCCTGACAGCACACACCATGTTTTCTCCACAGTACCTGGAGTCAGTCCGTCCTCTGCTAAACAGTGAACAGTACAACCAAATGGAGATGCTGGCCAATGACTTTAAAGATTCAAAAGCAGCCCAGCTACAGAGATACCTAATCCTGAAATCCTGGTGGGGGACAAATTATGTGAGTAGTACCTGCAAGTTATACAACATCGAAACTCAAATTGAATTGAATGATAATGTCATTCAATGATAATATGTTATCTTCTCTAGGTAAGTGACTGGTGGGAGGAGTACATCTACCTCAGGGGTAGGAGTCCTATCATGGTGAACAGTAACTTCTATATAATGGTAAGATACAGTAGACTGTCAATACTGGGGTGTATAGTAATGCTCTTTTCATATCATTTTTAACGAGAAATACTAGACAAACAAATAGTTCTCTAAACTTCATTGCTAAATGCCAGTAACCAAAATAATAATTACTCTTATTAAATCATATTTGTCTCTTTATGTGATTTACAGTATACTTGCTCTCTGTTTTCTGTCTATTTGAGTATACTTTGTCTTTGTGGTGAATGTATTAGGACCTATTGTACATAATCCCAACACACCGACAGGCTGCTCGGGCAGGGAATGTGGTCCATGCCATGCTGCAGTACAGGCGCAAACTGGAACGGGGTGAACATGCACCGGTAACGCTTGCCATGACTTTACTACAACTCTGCCATCAATCTAAACAAATCACCCAATCAGCTTGTAACCTACCCACTGTAAAACCATTTACATACTTCATTCTTCTCTGTGATGAATGCTTTTTTTCTTTTTTATTCTCAGCTGAGGGCTTTGGGGACAGTTCCTATGTGTTCCACTCAGATGGAGAGGATATTTAACACCACCCGCATCCCTGGGATTGAAACAGGTAAACAACTGCTCTGTACAGTTTAAAGGGTTAATCAACACTCAAAAGCGTTGGGCAGACCTGGGTTGAAACTTGCTGTCATAGCACATGCTTTCCATCAGCTGTTAAAAGTGAAATACCTGCTTTGACATCATTAACTGAGGTATGAACAGAAGTGCAACTGGTTTGAAAGTTTCAGCCACCAGTCCAATGTGCTACAGTGTTGATTTACCCTCTAACAGCTGTACTGCTGGCGCACATGATTATGAATGTGAGATAAAAGGACCATTGGTCAATCTGTTTGTATTAAAGCGTTATGCCTGTTCCTATTATTCTACATTTTATCTTTGAGATTATCCAACGGCATCAACCCTCTTATTTTGTCATGTGTCCACACATGCTTCCTTTTTCTTTTTGGCCCTTCCTTGCAGATATTGTGCAGCACCTGACTGACCGTAAGCACCTGGTTGTCTACCACAAGGGCAGATTCTTCAAAGTGTGGCTGTACACTGGAGGACGCCACCTCTTACCCAGTGAACTTGAAACACAGTTTCAAAGGATCCTCAATGATACATCAGAACCCCAGCCAGGAGAACTCAAATTAGCTGCCTTGACTGCAGGAAACAGGTGTATATAATCACACACACATGCGCAGGACACATGTGTGGAAAATTGTCTTACTCTGACATCCCCTTCTAGAGTTCCATGGGCTCGGGCTCGGATTAAATATTTCAGCCAGGGAGGAAACAAAGTGTCCCTGGACGCCATTGAGTCTGCTGCCTTCTTCCTGACGCTAGATGGCGAGCAACAGGGTTACGACCCTGCAAAGACCAAATCGTTTGACAGTTATGCCAAGTCCCTGCTTCATGGAAAATGTTACGACAGGTACGCACAGAAGTCAAGGGGAAGGTCCCAGCTATTGGCTGCAGTACTGGTTAGACTTTCAGCAGTTGGTTCACCGAAAAAGACTTGTTTATTTCCTCTGTCACAGGTGGTTTGACAAGTCTTTCACCTTGATCTCTTATCCAAATGGAAAAATGGGTGTTAATGCTGAACATTCTTGGGCTGATGCACCAATTGTCGGACATATGTGGGAGGTATGAAACGTGTGCTGATATTGTATTTCAAAAATAATGATTAAAAATGTGCAAATATATTTTCAACCAGCATTTTTTGTCTATGTAGTATGTTCTTGCAACAGACTGCTTCCATCTTGGCTACACGGAGGAGGGGCATTGTAAAGGGGATGTGAACAAAGGTCTGCCTTATCCCTCTCGACTACAGTGGCAAATTGCAAAGGAGGTGCAGTAGGGCCTTAAATCATGAATTTCCATTGACCTATTTGATTTGCATTTAATGGTATTTGCTGTAGGCTATTAACTGTATTTTCATCACAAAACGAATCAGGTTATCCTTCTGTTTTCCCCTCTCGTAGTGCCAAGAGGTCATTGAGACTTCATACTTGTCAGCCAAGCAGATAGCTGACGACGTGGACTTCCATGGCCATCTATTCCATGAGTTTGGGAAAGGACTGATCAAGAAGTGCAGGAGCAGTCCTGATGCCTTTATTCAGTTGGCCCTGCAGCTAGCACAGTTCAGGGTAGGGCTGCCATCTTCATGACATTACTGACATTATCGCTCACTGTTGTCTTTGATTATGTCATCCACCAACAAAACATTACTTCAATCCATCTGCTTTTTAGGACCAGGGTGTGTTCTGTCTGACTTACGAGTCATCCATGACTCGTATGTTCAGAGACGGTCGGACAGAGACGGTACGCTCCTGCACTTCTGAGGCTGTTGCATTTGTCAGAGCCATGGAGGATGCAGGTGCAACAGTAAGCAGAACACAATCACACACAGAAACACTTCAAATGAATCAGGATCACACAACATAAAAAACACAAAGAGGTCTGTAGTGGCATCACAGGTGGGTCCAGCCAGGTCCTTAAACATTCAAATCCTTTACTGGAGGAGGTCAATATTTAAAACAATTTGCAAAATAATTAGACTTTGGTCATATCTGATCTCAAATGTGTGTGTTATCAGGCTCACAAATTCACAATCAGTCTTTCGGTGTAAATGGACACACTTTCTGTAAGTACACCACATCACATTTGGAGAGGACACGCTGTTAGAGGTCACATTGTGCTGCTTAGGACTTGGTCACCAGGACCTGGAGGCAATATGTCTCCTCATGCCAGTGCTCTGGACTCTGAACTCTCTGAAGTTCTTGTAGGGTCAAACTGATATGTTGTTAATGCCATAAGTACGGGCCTGGATGCTACTTGTTTGTGCCGTTTGTTTTTGTGATCAGAATGCCCAGAGACTGGCCCTGTTTCGGAAAGCAGCAGATAAGCATCAAAACATGTATCGTCTGGCCATGACGGGTTCTGGTATCGACCGTCACCTCTTCTGTCTCTACATAGTGTCCAAATACCTCGGTGTTGACTCGCCATTCCTTAAGAAGGTTAGAACTATGGGTTTACTCTTACCCTACCAACTTTTCTCCTTTCTTATCTGCCTTAACATTCAATATCTTTGCTTCTAGGTGCTTTCAGAGCCGTGGAAGTTGTCTACCAGCCAGACTCCACAGCAACAGCTCAATTTAGTTGACATCAACAAGTTCCCTAACTATGTGGGTGCTGGTGGTGGATTTGGCCCAGTGAGTAAAGTTGTTTTATTTAAGGGATGTGCAAAAGCAACACACAAGTCGTAACGTTTCACCCTGAAGTCGTGGTCTGGAGGCATTTTGTGCAGTAATAGCGCCTCCTCTCTACCACCAGGTGGCTGATGATGGTTATGGTGTGTCTTATATAATCGTTGGGGAAAACCTCATCACATTCCACATCTCCAGCAAGTTCTCCAACCCTGACACAGTAAGAGTACAAAATGAGAGCAATGCATATTATCATATATGTATAGCGTGTAATGCTGTCTTTAAAAAACGCAACACTCTTTATGTCTCTCTCTGTTTCTGCCTTTGTTTGTGACCTGCAGGACTCATTCCGGTTTGGTCAGCACATTTGTAACGCCATGCTTGATATCCGAGCACTTTTCAAGCCTGAAAACGATAAGAAGACGGTGGAGCATGCATCGCATGTACAGCTGGAAAATGGGAAAAAGCACAAATAACAGACTGTAACGACTGTAGAGTGGTATGCTGGATGTGCCTCACATACAACCTGTGAGTCTCTTCGTCGTGCTTCATTCATACAAAACTAAAGTTCGGGCGACAGGTTGCACTTAAGATCTTTTTGGTCACATTATAGGAGCTGGTCATTCCACTCAGTCAGATTACAGAAATAGTTGTTACTTCTCAATTTTATATTATACCTTCCAGAGCTGTGTTGTTTTGGTGCTGAGGGATAGATCTTTAAAAACGGGAATTTTTGGTTGTTTCTCTCTCCTTTTTGTCAGTTTATACCATAGACTGTATATAAAGCTAACGTAATGTAATAAATCTAAATATAATCTTTATTTATGGTCTGTGCATATGAAACTTGTAAATATAAAACTCAGTACTGTCTGAAACTATAAATCATTTGTTACATGTCAATATTTATGAATTAATGTTGTCATTTTTGATTAAAATATTAAAGATTATCTATTAAATGTATCTCATAATCAGTGGCTTTTGTAGAGTTCAAATGTAATCATACTAATCACTAGACATAAATTCATAGTTATTTTCCATTCTTAACATTAATAAAAATTAATAAAAAAAATGTAATACATCAAAAACATACAAGGAAAAACAATCTATTATGAGAGACGTTTATTGTAAGTGGGGTGACAGTCATGTTCCTGGTATCCATATGAACATTTACAGAGGCCTTACAGGTTCATTCAGGCTTCTCGGACAAACAAAAACGATGTGGACTTTGATCCGCTGGAAGCTTTATAAGAGTTTGTCAGACTGCTCGCAGCAACAGTGAGAGCAAAACCAAATGCACCAGATCTCGAACAAAGGCAACATCACTGATTAGAGTGCTTGATGTGAACAGACTCCTTTTTACAGTTGCACGATTGAGTGACCATATAATGCAAACTCTAATCACCACATTACCTTAAATATGATGACCTACTGGGAATGCAGATGGTAGACGGCTCATCTCCTGATCTGTGACTTTAAACCACACTTCATCTATGACTTCACGTCAATGCACAATGAAGCAACATCAATTGTCAAAAAAAAAATATCAATCTGCAGTTTCATGATAGATAACGTCACATTTGACTTTTGAGTGCAGCTCCCAAAGAGCGGGCAAAAACAAACCATTTTCTATTGTAATATTTATTAGTTCAGGCGGGGACAATACAAAAAGAAAGTAATAAAAAACAAACCATTCTGGTCACTCTTTTTCTTTCAAGGCATCAGTTACAGCAATGAACTAAAACTAGTCTTTATAACTGTACAAAGTGAATAGACAAACAAAAACACCATCATGCGGTCCGCCTGCTTGATGAGAGCCATTTTAAAAAGAGCCAAAGAGGCAACAGTCACCAGACTTCCTAAGATTCAAAATGAATCAACAGTATCACATTATTGTCTTCATCACCATCGCCCTCTTATCAGAAGTTGCCTGCTGATCACACACATGTAACATAAGAGAATACAACAGACACGAAAGGCAAATGGATTTTAAGTATGCTCTAATTCTTACCGGTTTGTTTATCATTGGGGTACTGCAGGCTGAGTCCACTGGGTGATGACGTGCCCCCTGGGCCACTGTGCGGAGCTGTTTTTCATGTAGATACACGCCAACCCAGTCTTTTTTGTGTACATACTATTTTGTGTATATATTTCAACACTCTAGGATGGTTTTGTAGTTTATGTATCTAAAAACACTCTGCAGAGCTTCGGGGTTCCGGTCGATGATGCACAGGTGGATTAGGAAGTTGCACCAGGAGTTGGGTTGACATTCTGCGTGGCTACTTGTGGTGCCACCTCTATGATCCGTGGTTTGTCAATGATGCGAGCAGTGCGGTTTCCTTTCTCTACAATTCCGATGATCCATGCTTGGTGGCCCTCGCCGTATTTTGGGGATTTGATCTCGGCACAGAAGCGGGCAGCTTGCTCCCGAGGCAGACAAATAAGCAGGCCTCCTGTAAAGAAAAGGAGATTCCGTCAGTCACAACGGTCCAAATTGACCAAAACAATTATACAAGTTGTGTTTTAAGGACTGGATGAGTATATCTTGAAAGGGTACAAATTACCTTCAATCCAACTTGAACCTATCAGAAGTCATATTCTTAGGACTTTTAATTTGCATCTTGTCCCAATTAGACTAGTTAGACTTTCTAAACAAATTATGAATGAAGAAACCACAGCTGATTCAGAACGCTACAGCAAAGTTGATTGAATCTTTGTTGTTGTGGCCCCCGGAACATGTATAAAACTGGTGTTTGTTATGTTGGGCCTTTCCTATTTTTGCATATTCACCTGTAAAGCACTTTGTGAGGCTGTCTCGACATATGTGCCATCTACTGTAAACAAACTTTACATTCAAAATAAATGGTGGTTAACGCAGACAGGAAAAAGAAAAAAACAGAGCCTTGTATACACACACACACACCTGATGTTTCAGGGCAGGTGCCGTGCATGAGCCCAAACATGTTCCCACAAGCCTTGGACACGGCCGCCATCTTGGCGAGCACTGGGAGGTTGTGGATGACAAACGACACCTCGCTTCGTTGTTGCCGTGCCAACGTCTGAGCGTGGCCTAGGATGCCGAACCCTGTGATGTCGGTGGCTGCGTGAGCGTTGAAGGTGTGCATGAGACCAGCCGCTACACGAGAGACAGAGAGAGCGCACATTTGGATGACTTTTGGTTGATTGGGGATGTACACAAGTGGTATGAACAAATGCTGACTACACAACTGGTGCTGATATTCACAACAGCCGTCACCCCTTGAAGGCCAATCACTGTATGCCGTCTGAAAGCATAAACATTATAACCATGAGAAGTATGCAACTTCTGTCCCACATGGAACATTATCTTTAGGGATTATTCCATTTTTTTGCATTGTGTTTTACTATATTAGCAGAAGCTACTTAGCCACAGAGGGTGCAACACTGCTGCAGAGGCTGCTGCTGTTTACAAAAATAATCTCCCTCATTCAACATTTCTCTCTGCCCAACAGCTCATGTAGTTATGCCGAGCTTAAAGGCATTTACACACCGGGGTTGTGACAAATGAACAGCACAAAAAAGCAAAATACTTGCCTGCAATTATATTTCTAGGGCTTTTATTGTGAAAGGTAAGAACAGAAGGAGTGGATCTGATCTGCACTGCCTGTGTCAAGGTTGAAGGTAGTAATACAGTTTGCCATTTTGGACACATTCATAGAGGTTTTACCTGTCCTGTTGAGCCGAGCCATGTTCATCATGGCTTCATGGTAGGCCAGCTCTACATCCTCCTGCGTAACCACCAACTTGATCTTGTTCCACTTTTCAGGCTGAGAGATAAAAACAACATATACAGCCAATGGTGTTAGTGTGTATCCTACAAAAGAAGGAGACAAAAATGATTAGAGTGAAATGAGTGAGCAGGCGGACTTACAATATCCAGCCACTGATGTACTGCAACGGCCACTTGTGTTCCAAGCGGCTTGGTCAACACCAACACGTCTCCTGGCACTGCATTGTCTGGCCTGAGAAACGTCAAACATCAACGTTGTTTTTTTTTTTTTTGCAAAATAACAAAATGATAAATTATACATAAGTAGGAAATATGCAGTGTGGAGCTCATTCCTACATGATGAATTCGTTCGGTTGGCAGACTGTTGTAGCAACTCCTCCCATCACCACCCAGGGGTTGAGTACCGTCTGTCCTCCTGTTACAGATGTGCCCGCCTCCTCTGATGCATCCTTGAATCCCTGGATGACCAGTGGCATGACTTTGTCTCTCTCCTGTAAAAGACCAAGACAATTCAGAACACAGAAAGGGAGCACAACATAATATAGTATAATAATAATAAAATATCTTTGTGTCACGTAACTCTATTAGAAGTGGTATTTGGGTTGTTCACCCATTACAACAATTGGTTCTTCGCAGTTTTTTTAGCCAGAAACAAGATCCAAAAGTGAACACATCTGCTGACATGCCTCATACCTTTTCTGACATTTTGTTGCTGACTCCCAGAAGCATCAACATGTTGTCACACTCTGTCACTCCCATAGCATACAGGTCACTTAGAACATTGGCACAAGCTATTCTTCCCTAGAGAAAAGAAATACTGACAATTAAGCACATGAAGGGTTGTTGCATAAAAAACGGCTTACGTTACAACCAATGATACAGACAGAGAATCATAACGGTGGCATCCTTTCATTTGTCACAGGTATGTATAATTAATAGGTACACAACGGAGCAAAAGTAATGCCCATAAAAGAGCAGATCCATACCATCATGTAGGGGTCATCCACAATGGGGTAGATGTAATCTGTTGTCTGGACCAGAGAAAGGCCTCCATGTCTGAGGGGGATCACACAGGTGTCCATTCCTATGCCTTTAAAATATAAAAGAGCTGTGTATGTGATATTTTGAAGAGGTTTTCATTCTGGTACTGTACACAGAACATCCTAATGTAAGAGCAGAATTTGACTGCTGGGCTCTATGATGAGGGAATTATCAAATGACTCTCATTTTAGTGTTTCTGCGCTGGTAGTCTGTCCAGAACTGACACCTTTATAGTATTTTAATGTTTTGCACCCTGTTGTATTTATTGCTCCCTCAATCGCAGTCAACACTGTCCGGTCATTGATGGCGTATGTATAATACAGCAGGACTGGTGCTTTCAAACATGCTTTAAGAGTTTTATATGAAGCAACTTTATCTTTAATGCTCCCACAAAACTGGTTTCCACTACAGAGAAGTTGGTTCTGTTGTGGTTAGAATAGCTAATACTCTTTGTTTAAGCTGTATTACTGTTAAGCACTTTGTAACTTGGCTTATTTGTTATTACAGTACTATACAAGGATCATAATTACCTAATCGGGGCATAACTGCCCCCAGGAACTGTTCATCCTCTTGGTAGTGGTTCTCCTGTAGGGTTTCTAGCAGCTTCTGTAACACATCCTGAGGAACCTGTGACCGAAGACAAAAACCACCATAATCATTATCCTGTATTTGTTTATATCACATTTCTTATCGGGTGGAATCCTTATTAATTTGTATAGATATACAAAGGCAATGACACGTCCACGGCAGATATTCATATGGAGAGAGCTAACCTTGCATCCGGTGCCCTTGAGCTCAGCAAAGCGTGTGAGCCTGAAGTTCTTGTCCAGCTCATAGCTTTCCGGGTTAAAGGACTCCCTCACGGACATGTCTGAAGAAAGTCTGGGTCTTCACCACTAGAAGCACATCAGGACGGAACAATAAAATAACTGTGATTAGAAACGCTGTTTGAATGGGATGAAATTCACCTCACGATTTTATATTATCCACAAACGTGCTCACCTTTGCATCAATTCCAGTGAATCATGACAAAGTGCAAATGTCTGAAGCAACATCACTGAACTAAATCATGCCTTTGTGTGTCTCATAATAGCGTAAGACTGCGTCAGAGAGCTCTTCATTTAACTCTGCAGTCGTCTTTAGCGCTGCTAACAATAACCAACAATTATCTTGATTATTAATGAATCTGGCAATTACATTCTTGATTTATTTTCAGTATATAAAATGTCAAACAATAGTGAAACAGTGAAATAGTGCTAGAATTTAATAAATGTATTTTTTTAATGTCTTTAAACTTTTCTTGCTTTGTCTGATAAACAGTCCAAAACCTAAAAGATGTTCTCATTCAGTTTACACTTACATTAAACAAAGAAAAGCAGCAAAACCTGACAATTGAGATGCTGGATATAATTAAAACAATTTATTAACTAACGAATGAGCAGTGTATCAATTTTCTTAGTAACACATTTTGAGGATACTTTATACTAGGAACACCGTATCAAAGCAGCCAAACACCTGAAACACGACCACACTTAAATCAGCACCTCTCTGACGAGTCTCAATACGAAATGAAGAATTCACAGGTGTAGTAATTGTGTAGGTCTATTGTATTGTACTGAATGTCAATATCCGGATGCATTCCTGTTCGGGTTTCAAATTACATTGATTTTGATCAAATTAAGAAAATAAAAATCGATTGCACGTGCATTAGTATAATATTTATTAAAATTGGTCAGTTTAGTGAGAAAACAAATATTAGGGGTCTGAAGTGCAAAGCATCAAAGACTCTTCAACAGCATCTCTCTGTGACCCCCAATACACACCACTGGGAACACAACACTTCACAATGAGCTGGTGCATGCTGTCGACTCTCATGTTTGCTTTTGTTTGATTAAATGTAACACGTGAATAACATGACAACGGGAAACACTTTTAAACCTGGCAGAGTTATTGGTCGCTTATAAGCCCGGTTTGTTATTCAAACTGCTGTTGAGTTGCTGAAGGGGCTTCGGTTAGCTCACAGTGGGAATGTTCAAGAGACAAAATGCTGCGAAGTTCATTCAACCCTGAGGCAACAATATCAGCGCCGACCGCAGGTGAACTGTTCGGTGTAATGGACACCACGTTGTCAACTGCTGCGGTTAGCTGCAGTTTACAATGTGTTGAAAGTGTAACTGTCACTTTTGTTTTGCTAAAAAAAAAAAAAAAATGCAGTTTCCGTTTCTATGCTAGCTCTCGCTTTGCAAACGCTGATCAATGCATGAGGTGATGAGCATAAGAACAAAGACCTGAGAGTGTCCGAGTGTGCGAGCTGCGCAACAATTAAAAACACACACTGTGCAGGCCACAGCCCTAATGTGAACCACAGTTGTTGAAACATAGTGTCAGTTCTTTGCCCATTGTAAGTTAAAAAGTTGCCGTAGAGCGCCGAATAAAAATGTCGGCGGCGGAAAAAATTAACCCTTTCCTGTCCCTCACCATGCGATGTGTGCAACATCACAGTTCGTATCAATAAAACAGCACTGAATATGCAACTTGTGCAACGTTTGTACTAATATTGTGCAATATAAGTGTTTACAATTGCCCTAAATGTTATTTTAGGACCAAAGCGGAGTTATATTCTTGCAACATTTCCCCTTTAATTGCTCTGTCCAGTTTATCCTTACCAGCTTCACGTTAGCGGTGGATCCCGACAGAAGAGCGGGGACGGCCCCAGAATGCATTGCGGCTAGAATCGGGCGTCCTCCGAGAACGCCTGACGAAAAGTGAGACATATTTGTCTTCTAACTCAGAACTAGACGATTAAAAAATAGAACTGTCACGTAAAATTGAATGCATTTCAATGAATCAACCTATCCGATCATGTTTTGTCTTCATCAAACAATATATGGTTTGCAATACAAAGAGGAAACTCACAAGATCTCAAAGGGTCCTCTGCCCGTACATTGGCGGCTGTAACATCCCCTTTAATGGGCTGTGAAGTCTGGCAACAAAATCTCTACAATGGAGTGTACCTTTAATTTACTGTTTTCCCTCCAATTGCTCTTACAACATAGCATGCCTTGGTTTGAAGAACAGGTACTTAACAAAGGCTGAAGCTTATAAACTTACATGTGTGATCTTTTGGTAGAAATATGTTAAAAGTGCAACAAATATTTTTGTTACAACGCATTTTTTGTTTTGTTTTTTACATTACAACAAAGCTATATTCATGTTTGTTTGGTCCTCAAGAAAGAAATCCAGCAATACGAAATGTTTTTCTCATTTCTTCTGTTTTTAATTTTACCGTCCAGCATATAGAAAAACAACACAAAGACAAAATGGCCAGGAAATCATATTTAATGGTGGAAACAACTATTCATGTCATATGCACACTGAGCAAAATAATGAAAACTGTAATTCCATCACAGTATTAATAACAATAGCACAATATGCATAGCCTAGAGATTCTAATAATTAAAATAAAAAAACAATTCATTGAATACTTTATATGCTTTATTTAAAAACAGTTCTATCAACCTATTTTAAAATACATCAGAAATCTGCTTTTAGATGTAATATTTGTAATTAAGGTTGACCTTGCACAACACATTACATTGAAGTACTGGTCAGGTAAAAGAAGGCACAATCCTTTTAAAATGCAATTTGTAAAAAGGTAATTTGTGCAAAATATATGAATGCTATAATATTACAGTTGCCTACTTTGTCTTGTTTTAGATTTGAAACTCCTAGTAATGACATATGAGAACAAGGCAAATTAAAGCTGTAGCCTATAATGTAAACAGTAAGTCACTTCTGAACATGAAAATGATCTGACATTTTTTAACCACTGTATATTTCAGTGTCTTTTGGCATAAAAACCCAGATCCCAGGATCTGTCCACTGAAAAGGACCACAAAAGCTGGAGCAGGTGCATGTTAGAGAGAGAGAGAGAGAGAGAGAGAGAGAGAGAGAGAGACAGAGAGAGAGAGACATAAAGCAGGCTTCTTCTTCATTGGGTGCTATAGTTTTTTTCCCTTTACATCCATAGGAGAGCGCAGATTGCAGCTGCAAAGGAAAAATCTAAAGTGGCAAAATGCATCAAGTTAGAGAAGTAATAAAGACAAATAACAAATATGCTGTAAGGCCAGTGTGGTAGCCATTGAATCAATCAGTCATGTTAACGACCATCCCCTTCACACTTGCAGGCTTGCTATAGTCACAACCTACAGAAGAAGGAAGAAAACAACGTTAGGATACAAAATATCACTGCCATAAAAGACAACTGTGTTCACACATTTGGTGGATTGTTTTTTTTACGGGTCTCATAGCCTTTTTTGAAAGAAAAAAAAAACAACTACAACTGAGACAGCAGAAAGATAAATGCTGTTGTGGCAGCGAGGGAAATAGAGAGGTGAAATGGGGGATAAGGTGCATGGTGTGAAGATAATTAGTTGACGTTTCGGGAAGCTGTGTGAGAATGTCAAATGTCACAGCAACAGCAACAGCAGCAGCGTGACAACGACATATGAGCCAATGAGCGAACCAGCAGCAGCAGTTTGTGTGTGTGTTGTGACAGTGAAGTTGTGAGAGGTAAAGACATGGTGGGCTCAGAGGGGGGCTGATGGAAAGATGTTGTGAGAGTACTGATATAAGGCCTGCAGGTGAAGACACAGACGGATACAAGTAGACATCTGGATTGTGTTTGTGTGTGTGTGTGTGTGTGTGTGTGTGTGTGTGTGTAAGTGTGTTAGTTGCCATTTTAATGTGAGGTTCATACTTGTGGAAGGTCCATTTAAGACTTCTTCTGCTTCTGCAGCATCTGAGGAGTCAAAGGAAGAACAAGGTTTACCTGACACGTTCAAAGAAGGCCTCCTCTTTGACAACTTTGTAGTTGACCTATACTAGTAAACTCACTGCTATTTCATTAAATGAGAGCGAATAGGGTGGAAATGTCACAGTAGACTCTGTAGCAGTACCTCTTTTCAGCCTCCTCCTGGCAAGTTTGATCTGATCTTGAAGGATCTGAACCCAGTCTCGTGGCCCGGGCAACTTCTCTATTCTATGTTCACTGCAGTATTTCTCTGTAAACACTGGACACAGTTCACACAACTACATTAATGTATCATTTATCATTTCATTAATGTGTCATTATTGTTGTACTCTGGTACAAAGAGACTGATTAAGTCTTTTGTATCTTACCTTTAATGGCGCCCACAATGTTCTGGTCCAGGCCCTTACGGTTATCATTGAGCCCTCTCTTTCTTTTACCGTTTGGCAAGGAGTTAGCCAGCGTAGTATCGTCAAAGAAGGCACACACCTGGACACACCATAGCTCCATATTAAAATATTTTTGAGCCTTTTGTGAACTCAGCTTTATATTTGATGTAAATGATTGGATATGTGTTGTTGTTGTTTTCATTAAAATGTAAGTAACCAAAGGTGCCACATGACTGCAAACTTAACCACAATCAAAGGGCCAGTGAGTTGGCTCACAGCAAAATATTGATGCGCACCAGTTTCCTGAACAGCAGGCTGCCAGAGCGTGTATAGTTGACCAGAATGGAGTCAAGCTGAGCCTTTGAGATATACACGTCATGATCCTCTGCAAGACGCACCTCAGACTGAAAAATAATCAAATAACACATAGTCTGAATTCTGAAGTATTTTGGAAAAATGTTAAATTAAAACATTAGATAAATTCAGTTTTTGGAAGGAAAAAGAGAGCTCTACAGAAGTCATTGTCTTGTGTATTAGCTTAATGTTGAATGTAAAATGATCGCGCAAAACTTAATATCTCATACCTTCCCAAAATTATGATTCGAGATCAAAAGCGGTACAGGGACACAAAGGTTCTCCTTAGCAACAAAGCATTCACTTGGCGATGATTTTTAACATATTGACAAGAAGGTAATGGATTTTAAATTTCTTATTATAGAGAGAACTGTTATAATATTAAAAAATGACTGCCTTAGTTCTGTATCTTCATAAAATAAATCTGGAAGAAAATTAAGCCATTATGTAGTTGGATGAATTCAACAACTGCCAATTCTACAGTATGATTTTTCAGATGTGCATTAGGTTGAGTTAAGAAATACATCTGATTTGTTCTAAGTGTAAATACAGTAAATACACACATTAAAACACTTTTGAGAATACATTCTTCAGAAAGATTAAATTCAAATTCATGAGCACTGTTTCTATGGGAGTGCAGTAAACTCAAATTGTAAATTTGAACCAACATGCAGATTACCTCCAATGACTGATGTTCCTTTAGTTGGTTGAGGAGAGGATTGTGTCTGTTGTTGACAGCTACAGGATTTTTCTGAGGTGGCAGCACAGAAACCTCAGACGAGACGGAGTGACTGTTGGGTGTGGATGAGCCTTGCTCTTTCCCACGTTCCTCCCTCTTTCCAGATTCTGCAGGTGCAGCTATAAGTGGTGAAGCCTCCAGAGGGCCAAGAGCAGCTCTTCTAGTACTAGACACATTCAGTGGTGCCACTTTATAGATTGGCCTCCTCTTGCGGGACCTACAGCGAGGTGCGGGGCCTGGGCCAAGACAAGGTTGGCATGATGATGCTACCTCTCCCTGTCTTTCCAAGGATGCTAGAGAAAGACAGTAACACATTACAATTTCTCTTTCTCCCTTTGTCACAGTATGTGAGTGTTCGTGTTCATCCACTGACCTTTTTGAGTGTGCATCAGCCTCCTCATGGCACGCAGTTCCTGCAAAATAGCCTGTAAGGTGCCCTTACAGTTACACATACAGCAGGGGGCTTCTGTCGCAGCAGGAGGGACTACATCTGCTGGGAAGACAGTAGGGCGTTGGTAAGTGATTGTCTGCATAAACATGCACACTCATACGGGTGCAAAGTGCTTTCTTGCTACGTCACTGACAACAAAATGTGTATATGTGTGTGGAGGAGTGTTTGACTTTCTGTATGGATAAGTGTCTGCGTAACACACAAATACCTCTGTATATATACCTCTACAACAAAAAGCTTGTCTGGTGTGTAGTACAAGACACTTTCTCCTCTCTATTCTATCAGCATCATTTTTCTTGAGGAAATTAAAGTTGTGTCTATTGGTTTTCTCCTCTTCAAACCTGCGTTGGTATCCTACCATTAGCTTCATTCATTTTGATTGGATCCGTGGTATTGTTGAGGCTCCTCAGGGCTTTGGAGCGGGTGCTGTACTGGCCACAACTTGGACCGTTGGGGATGGGGGTGGATATGGATGAAGGTGAAGGCCCTGGGTCGCCTGCAGAGTTCCAGCTGTTGCTCTGGTGGTCCTCTGATATAAGAGATGAAATTGCAGGCTGATGTACCCAGGTCAGATGCCTTTCCTGGGGATCCTTTGTTAAGCTGTCCTGCTCTCTTACCACGCGATGATATACCCTGCCGGTCTTATCACTCAGAAGCCTCATCATTCCTGTGATTTGCCTCTTGATCTCCACGCCCTTGTCCCCCAGCCAAACTACGTTGAGAAAGAAGAAAGAGTCGGTATAATAAGTGAGATCTGCCTCAATATATCATAGAAGTTATTCCTCACTATGGCACATACCACCAGGAACAGCAGCATCCTTAGGCTCTCCATTCACATCGTTGCAGTTTGAATCCATCATATATGAAGGGGCAAAATCTGCGAAAAAGACAGCAAGATTTTGTTGCAATGATGAAGCTTGTGCATAATGATAGGGACTACTGTGATGTAAACCAAAGCCCCGTCCCCCCCTCCCATGCAGAAACCACCACCTGTAGGTGGTATGAAGAAGTGTATCCAAGAGAGGCTTAGAGCATATAGCCTCAGCAGAAAGTGAACAATCCAAGCTGCATGTTGGATGTTCAGAATGTGCAACATGTTTTCATAATTTAGACTATTCGTTTTGTCTAATCATTTCATTTTTGAATCTACGTTGCGACTGATGTCCAGGAAGGTTTTCACATGTAAGACTTTAATCATTAAGGTTATATGTTGGTTATAACCGAGGCACAGACTATGGACATTATCGTGGCCATCGCTTTTGTTTACAGAGTCGTCTCTGCTGGCACACAGCGCCAGACAAGCACCCAGACAGAGACGCGCGTCTTGCAAGGTCTTGCATTCATTCAGCAGCCTACCTTCATCCGTGACCAGTTTAAAGCTCCGTGACTTCCTTCTTCTCTTCCTTTCTCCAAACTCCATCTTCAGGGGGGATTTAACGTTAGTCTACAGCAAGTCGTGCAGTCGAAAATCGCTCTTGAGAAAGACGAAATCAGTGATACACTCAGCGGAATCACTGTCCGTCTGCCTTATTAATCAGTTACATTTCTCCTCAGGCTACGCTACAGATCCTGTCATCGGAACATTTTCACCGTGTTTAGCTTATTAAATGGACCTGATAAATATTGTTGTATGATATATTCTCGTTTGCAGAAATGATGCTGGTTCTTCCCTTTCGCCATGTAAATAAATTAATGACTTTAATATTAAAGATTCGTCACATATCCCTTTGCGCCACCTGATGGTATGTTCTCATCTAAAGGTCGAGTCACACATTTGCCACTGACCAAACAATGGACTGTCACTAGAACAGAAACAATAGGCTTATGAGATCAGAGTGTAAACTTTTTTTCTGGATTCTAAAATAATTAAGAAATAAATACTGATAATAGTGCATTTATGGTTGTTAGGGCGACTCATTTTCTACATTAAAATAATAACTCAATGACCATCTCTAATGTAATGTAATGTCTATGGTGAGTTTTTTTTGTTTTTATGTTACATTTATTAGATACTATTATATCTTAGAGACAGAAACGCAGATTGTATAAACCCTCTTTCTTTAGGCATAGTGAAGAAAGAGTATCTTATATCTGAAGTGTATGTTGTGCATCAGTGGATGGATTTTCCCAGTCATCACCTCGCTTCAGGCAACGGTATAAATTCTGAGTCAGTGACAGGAAAAAGGAGTTAGTGTTGAGGCACTTATGACAAGTGCAGGTCTGTTAAGATGATGTTACTTTTGTCATTATTTCATCAATTCTCAATTGTCAACCTAAAACGATTTCAAAATGGTTTAATCTTTTTCATTCCCCATTCTTGGTTGAAGAGACTGATCCTCACACACACTATTTTGTAGAATTTGTACCATTGGCAGCCTGTTTGCAATTTAATTTAGTCATTTATATTTTAGAATATGCGCCAAAACATATTAACATGTCATGGTCAGATCAGGCAATCTTAAAATATTCTGAGTTTATAAGTATTCAAACAGTGATTTGCTAAAGAAGTATTTTGTTGTTTTATTCTGCCCAAAGGAGAGTGCTTAATGATAAGCTTGATGTTGGTATCCATACTAAACTCTCTAAGGAGTCTAAATACTTAAGACGCTGACTTAAACATTCGTTGGAGCCAAGTTACATTTTATTTTTACATTTTTATTGTGAAACACAATCAACAAAATACAACAAATCGATTAAATGAGGACTCTTATACTGAAATTCAGGTTGGTTAAGAAATGAACTTCCGGGTTAAGTGGCGCAGCTTGAGCGTTCTGCATCAGTGCTACATGTTTAGCTAGTTAGATACTTTGTCGAAATAAACGAATAACGACCACAAGTTATTGACATGGATACACTGAAAGCTGAGATCGTCAGGAAAAGAAAACTCATCGAAGACAAACAGCTTGTTGACGTGAGTGGCTGATAAAGTAGCTTGTTTTGTTAGCTTGGTCACTCAACTCTTACATGTTTACTAGCGTTAACTTAGCTAACATTAGCTGCTAGCTAGTTTAGTCTACGCTGCCTTTCCAGAGTCATCGATGTTTTTAACGCTATGTTTAGGGTTAGATGTATTGTTACAGTACTGTGTAAAGCTCAAAATATAGCTAACGCAAATGTTAGACATGTTAAGACAGTCAGTAGACTGATATAGACGGGCTAAAAGTAACAATGCTAGGTTAACTTAAACGAAAATGGCAAGCAATTAAAAAAAGTTAATGTTAGACATCCACACCTGTAACGTTAATACATCATATGCATATGGTAAATTACTAGTTATTTTGTATTAAAGATATACACACTTCAATCATTGCATAAGAGAAGCAACAGGTAAGCATATAGCATCTTTGTTGTGAGACCATTTCTATGTAATGCCACTTCATGCTTTGCCACCAGACATTTTCATTGCGTTGTACATCAAGTTTGAATAGAAATGTGAAACAAGTCAATTATCTTTCTGCTTCCAGGACTCGAAAACATTCTTCAAAAGGTCTGATCTTGCACGCAAGGAAGAAGAAGATTACTTCAGAAGATGTGGATATAAGGTGGATGTCAAGATCACTCTTCCTTACTCTCTCTCTCTCTCACACAAATATAAATCACTGCCTTTCCTTCGTTCAGTTTTATCTCATGTTTAGATAAATTAAACTTTCATACTGTAGTTTAACTTTTTGCTAGGAAACAAAATGAGGTCAGGCTTTGATGCCCAGGTGTACATTGGTGTTTGTGTGTGATGTTTTTCCCCAACCTGCCTCTGCTGCCTGCATCTGTAGGTTCAGAGAGAGTCTCCTGTGAGCCAGGTATGGGATTGCACAGTGAAAGTTGCTGACAGGATGCATGATGAACGGATAAAACACATTGTGTCCCAAAGGCTTCGCTTCCTTGGCACCCTTTCTGACAGTTCACTCTCCAAAACCAGTGAGGATAAAAGCAGAAATAACATGGTGGTGACATCTTTATTTTCCAGTGCAGGTTAGAAATCACTCCATGAAGGCCGGAGATGATGACATTTATTCTACATCAGACATCTCAATCAATCAGTAAACCTATACTCATTTGATATCGGGCCTATTTAACCAGCTCTCCTCTGCTTATTGTGCGTGATAAATTTAGTCTAGTCCAAGTAATTTTGAAAAGTCATGGATTTTTCTTTTCTTTTTAGTAGTCATAGTTTCATAGCCTATTACAGAAATCCGTTTGAAAATATGAATTATTCAAATTCACCTTCATTACATGAATTTGCTGAAGCACCGCATGCATCCAATGCGCCACCATTGTCAATATTTATGCTTTTAACAATTTATTTTCATATGCAGCAACCACTATGACATCTAGACTACATGCCGGACCGGTTCTGTGTTACAAACTACTTACAAACTCTGCAACAATCACTTGTCAGAAAGCAAGGGACCAAGGAAACGAAACCACAAAGTGGGACACAGACATGGTGTGAATTTCAGCATGGTATACTGATCTGAAATAACAGATAATTCTGTTACCAAGCTGCACCTCTTTTTTTTTTGCACATAATCAATGACGGCAGCTTTAATGTTGAGACCGTCTAAATGTTTCTCCTGGTTTGCTGCTCTATAGAAAACTGTATTTCTGTTCTACTTTGTGCAAGGCTTAAAATGTCTAAGGTATGAAGCGGTGTTCTTTGCACACATGCAGAATACTGTGTTTATTTGAGCAAGGGCTATTGTTTGTTTGGAAGGCTTTTGTTGTCTTTCTGTTTGTGCTTTTAGATTGTGCTCCTCATACCACAATCTAAGAGTGCTGGGATGCATGTGCCTATAAAAGCATGATCTAGCCGCATTCTTTGAGTTTCCTTTTTGAAAAAAATACTGAATGTTTTGCCTGTGATTAGGTTTTTATGTGGTGCAGCCAACATTTAAAAAACACAAAGTGAAATAAGCTGTAATATTCACAATGCTTGCTTCTATTGGTAAGTTATTGGATGCCTTGTCTTTATAGAGGAGCCTGCAGGTAAGATGGGGATGTGAATGTGTGTATTCAAACGCATCAGAGTGACACATCCTCGTCACTCCTGAGGCCTCATCTCATGAAGACATTGCAGATGCTTTTCACATATCCACGTTATGTATACTGTTTAGTTGCATTGTCCCAGAAAGAGCAATCTTTCAATATTAATGAAATGAACCTTCAATAATACCTTCAATAATAAGTATATCTCTGTTTCCTCCATGTTGTCCTAAAGATTGCTAAGAAAGAAGATGAGCCGTCCACCTCAGCCAATCCAGTGTTAGAAATGGAACTAACAGAAGAGAAGCTGCCAATGACACTGTCACGACAGGAAGTGAGTCGATATAAAATATCAACACCTCCGTCAAAGTACTTTTTCTTTCCTAACAAAAGGTTAATGCATTTTTTGCATTGCTATGTGTGTGTATAGGTAGTTCGACGACTAAGAGAACGAGGGGAACCAGTCCGAATGTTTGGAGAGTCCGATTATGAAGCCTTCCAGAGACTCAGGAAGATTGAGATTCTGACCCCAGAAGTAAACAAGGTAGGACAATGTAGTCTTTGAGTGGGACACATCATCCATGTCGTTATCTGGGGGGGGGGGGTCATACAGTAACCACTAAATATAAAAATGGCCTTCTAGCCTTCAAAATGCTCAAGTAACCATCACTTTTCTATGAGCCTTCATCGGAAACAAATTTGATTTTTCCTCCTTTTTAAGCCCAATTTGCAGATTGATACTGTTTAACACTGCCTCTGCATCCAGGGCTTGAGGAATGACCTTAAAGCAGCCATGGACAAGATTGACCTGCAGTACCTGAATGAGATCGTTGGAGGAACAGAGCCAGGAGAAGTGGACACTCAGCATGACCTGAAAGTGCTAGAAGAAAACACCACTATAGAAGAATTGGAGGTACGTTGCATCGTTAATACTGCGTAGGTTACAGGATCAAGTAACCGTTAACTCATTCTGTGTCACAAGCTGTGATTTGTATCGGTTATGAACTGTGTTCTTCAGTAAGATATGGTTATGATTGAGTTTATGTTTGATACTGAAACTCTCCTTCAGCCTCTTCGTAACACTCTGGGCACAGGCGATGATAATGGAGACCAGGATGTTATCGACAAGTTTTTGAAGGTAAGGCAAGAAAATCCTGCTCTACCTTTTGATCTAGAGGGAGCTGTTGGATCACAAATATTTTACAATACTGGGGCTGCTTTTCATGTTGTTTTCAATATACAGTGTTGCTTTGCATTGTTCTTAACTAGCTGAAGAGATATTAAGTTATTTTAATGATGGAGTTTTTAACATGACTATTCAAGAACAAATAGTCATCATTTGTCATGTTGTATAAACTGTCCAAATGTATCGTATAGAATATGTTGTTGATACAGGAAAATGATTGCACACTTGTAGCCATGATGCAAAAAATATTATTTAATAATTTACCAGCGTTTCAACATGACAGTCTTATTCAGGGTACTAGCACATTGTTGAAAAGAGAGGCTTTTTGGATCTATTACTTTAAGACCCTTACCCCGAATGACCTAAATGTTGTTTTTTAGTTAAACCTCATTATCTGACTTTGTTTATCGTCTACAAGTACATAGATACCTAGATGTCTTCCCTCTTTCTCTGTCCTTAACCTAATATCACGTGTAACACGATCCCTTAGGGAGCCAGCGGTGTTTTTTGTTTTGTTTTATTTCTTTAAAATAGTATCCTTAATGTCTCTCTTAACGTTATGTGTCTTCATCAGACTGTTTTGTCGACGCTTGGCTTTTTTGATGCATTGTACAACCTAACTCTTTATCAAATGTACTCTGCCTAGATGTGATTTTTAAATGACAGAATGAATCAGGTAGCTTCTTGCTTCTCCTACAATATGTAAATATAAATTGAGGAAACTCCTCTACACGATAGAGCACACCTGTTTCTTATCCCCTATTGAATGTTTGTGGAGCTGTTTTGTCCCTAAATACCCTGAAGATGGCTGTTATGTTGAAAGATGTTTTTTTTAAACATGGTGGCTACGTGTCTGCAACTATTTTCCTTCACGCCTGTGTTTTCACCGTTGTCAGACCTCTCCAACACTGGTGTGCTTCCTCCCCTCTCTCAGTATTTAGTCAATAGCCATGTTTCCTGTTTTGTTTTCTAGTTTCTTCTTGGTGTTTGGGCGAAAGATCTGAACAGCCGAAAGGACCACGTGAAGCGAAGTGTTCAGGGCAAGCTGGCCAGTGCAACTCACTCACAGACTGAGTCTTACCTGAAACCTCTCTTCAGGAAGCTCAGGAAGAAGGTAGCGTTTGTGGAGAGCGTGAAACAAGCCGCAAGGATGTTGTTCACTATATGTTGGTTTTTAATTTCATTTCTAATAGTTTTAAGTTCTCTTTAATCTTTTTCAGACGTTACCAGCTGACATCAAAGAGTCAATCACAGACATCATTAAATTCATGTTGGAGAGAGAATATGTCAAGGTTTGTCGTCTGTGTATCAGTGTTTTTGACCATGTTGGCCCCTTTTATTGATGTACAAATGTATCAACTTAATTCAATCTTTTGTCCAGGCAAATGATTCCTACTTGCAGATGGCCATTGGTAATGCTCCCTGGCCAATCGGTGTGACCATGGTGGGTATCCACGCTCGTACTGGGCGAGAAAAGATCTTCTCCAAGCATGTGGCCCACGTTCTCAACGACGAGACACAGAGAAAGTACATCCAGGTGAGACGCCCTGAGATCATCTCAATCTCTATTGCTTTCAGAATTATTTCTAAAACTGTGACCCTCAAATTTAAGCTAATAATAATTGCAAATATATTACCCTATCACTGTAGGATTTTATCATTTTCATCTTTGTTTTATCCTTAACGGGCGTCTGGTTGGATGTACCAACGTTTCCCGGATAAATGAAATGCCATATTCAGACTTATTTTACTCTACAAATTAGAATCATTTTTATTCCCATTGATATTTTGATTACTTAAAAAAAATTTTGTTTAAATTTATTTAAACAAATGTCTAAGGCACAGCCTATCGCTGAAGGAGGTAACACAATGGTGATTCAGCCTACATCCCACTGATGAAAGTATATTCAATATTTGCAGTAATACAAACTGGGTGTCGGTGGTGACTTTCCCAGAAAGAAACTGTATTACAATTTGTCTCCATTGTATTCAGACAAACAATGGAACTATGCACACACTTCTGGAAGCTTATGTATCAACATAAATACTCCAGACTGCTGAACTCTAAGCCCAAAATAGTTTTCACTCAAATATATATATATATTAAATCAACCAGGACTGAAATCGTAGGGATTGTGCACTAGTTCTGAGACCTAACTTTACTGTGGTTTCCGAGAAAATGTTCTATAATTAACATCAGAAAGATGCATATTGACTCTTCATACAGTAACATATTTGTATGAGTGGGATTCATGAGGGACACATCCTATGCTGAACACTGCGAACACTGTACATATTTAGCATTTAGGGTATGCAAGTGTTGCTGCATTATTCTCCTCCGTGTGCAGTCACTGCACCTGTCGTATGTCAATAATATGTATTAAAGTGACTGCTGGTCATATACAGTAGTTACTAGAAGCCATCACATTATATCAATATATCTCCCAAAACACTGTAATCATGATGTATACACATAATGAAATGTTTACGTGTCTATACAATCTTAATAGGCAGTTTGAGAAATGAACCACCAGGTGGGATACAGTTAACCTGTGTTTATACTTTTCATTCCCAACTTAGTTGCCTTTTCTTTCTTTTCTTTTTTTTTTAGGGACTGAAGAGGCTAATGACTATCTGCCAGAAACACTTCACGACTGTTCCATCAAAGTGTGTGGAGTACAACGCTCTTTAACTTGTAACTTCAGTTTAACTTATGCCAAGGCTGTCCGCTCAGCTGTATCACAATCCAATATGGTAGTTTTGGCAGCAACTTCATTGGGCATGACAGTGTGGCTGAGTAGAAATTGCTCAACGTCTTCTATATCAAGGGCTTTCAAGTACATCTGCATTTTTTGGGGGGTCTGAGAAAATAGATAATTTGACCAGAGTGAGACCTGTTGTATACAATGAGTTGTCATCAAGCTTAGAAGTGAAAATATCTTGGATTTAGGTGGAGGATGCTCAACAACCCTTCAGTCCTGTTAGACTTGTGAACTACTGGGAAAACCGATTCACCCGTCATGCCATTAATATTCAGTCATTCGGTCCTACTTGAGAACATGTTTATGCTCTAATGAGTTCTGAACTATCGTTGCAGGAAACGTTAAACAGTAAAAAGGTTTAACTTGTGAAAGCCAATAATAACAGAACATGTTTTTCAAGGGTTCATTTTCATGATGTGGGAAACCCATTTAGTCAAAAACAGCTCCAGTAGTGTAAGTTTTATTACATGTGGAATATGGCAGTTCTTAACTCTTCATAACTCTGTTGACAATGCAGATTCAGTTCTATGTGCATGTTTGAGGTTTCAGTAGATGCTTAAACCAATCAATGTGTACCTGTACTATCTTAGTAAGAAAATAAATGTTTGTGTGTTATAACAGCTGCCAGGATTTGTTTTATGCAGTATGAAAAGTACATTTTTCTTCTTCAAAATAAATTTTCTTCTGAAATAGTCGAGATCTGCTCTCTCGTGTTCTTGTGATGGCTGAATGGGACTATTTTTAGCCACCATTGTTAGTTTCTTTTGGTCATTAGAAAATGTGTGCAGGGAAACCGTTTGTGCTAAAGGACTCTGTAAATGTGCCGTGACGTGCTTCAGTAATACTTTAGATTGCCCACTGTGTGACTTGAGGATTCATTAATACTAGTCAGAGGAAAATAGGCAATAAAGGAAATGGTGTTCTCTTCAAAGCAAACTAGATTTGCCACCACTGATTGCTGATGGAAACCTTCCAGTCGTTTGCTGAGACGGTGGCATCCAGCACCACGCACTGACCTTATTACACCGAGTAACCATGGTGATCTGTTCCTTGTGGTTACGGTGTGTGCACGTTACCACGGTTCCAGTCAGTCGGCTCTGAACGCGTCACTGCTTGAGACCCAGCTGGACAGGTTGACAGTCGGCAGTGCAAATACTGTGAGTAAGAGCTGTGCTTTCCACCCACAGCTAACCCTCACCAGTTTCTTTTTCATTCGGAGTCATTTATCTGCCCGTCCTTGAGGAAAGACTAAGCTAAATATTTTGGCTTTTGTCCACACAGATGCGTTGTGTCACTGTCAGCTGTGACGTTTGCTTGGACAAGGCCTTGAATTGATGGTCCAGTGGAAAGTATTTGCAGTTCATTGTTAATGAACAAGATAACTCTGCATTGTATCACACCTGGCTGTTTGTGTGAGTTGTGTTCTCTTTCAGACCAGTGCTATGCCAACAGAAAGGAAACACTTCATTTTAGGTGGACATCCCAGAGATTTAATAGGACCTAATTGCGAGAAACCTATTGTATTGTTGTGGTTCTTAGGCAGATGTTAGACTGATGTGTGGCTTAGAACAAGCACAGTGAGGGGTGGGTCGGCTGTGCAGGAAAAAGATGTTAGGGTAAAGCAAGGGAAAACATGGCTAAACAGACATTGCATTTTGCATACACTGCAGTTTTTGGATGTTTATGGTTGTAGCAAGTTTGCAGTTATATGTAACACAACATGTTCTTGTTCCTAGCATTGATACATGTTGCATGAGAGCAGCTGATGTGTTTCTGTGACACGTTATGCTCACATCTGTGCTTTGGGCTATTTGAATCTCAAAAGATGATACTCTGATTCATGTTCACTCTCTTGATTCTATTCATTTCACTTTCACTTGTCCGCACTAGTCGAAGATGTTGTAAAGACTGCAAACAAATAGGTGGCCTCATCCCATTCTCTTGGCACTGACCCTGTATGTGAATATGCTGATTTAATACGGCCTGAACTCCCCGACAACAATGAGGGTTTGTATTCATTATGTCGGGGCCTAACTATTTCTATTATTTTTTTTCCTAATAACCTCAGATGTATGCATGGTCCCGTTCCTGGCTGTAATCTGTGAAAGCTGATAAAAACCTGCTCTCTGTGCTCCTTTTGTTCAGGCGTCAGAGCAGGACGTGTGAGGGATCCACTTAGTTTCATTATCACATTCAAATCCCCAGGATTCATGGAAGGACTATCTCCATCGCTCCTGTGTAACTGCTGACATTAGCATGCCAATATTGAAATCAAAGCAAAAGTGTTGCTTAATTGTTTTCTAGTGTTTTGTTTAATGCTGCATCATGTGACAAAGTAATCGTGCAGTTGGTGAGACACTCCTCAATTAATCCCAATTTAGGTAAAAAAAAAAAAATCTATCCACAAATGAGTAGAAACATTATTTAGTGTTATTAATGTTTGATAGTTTCAGTATGTTCTCTGCACCTTGTGCTTTGAATTTGTCTTCAACAAGCCGTCCTTTCAACTAATCCTGAATTAAGATCAAAACATCAGTTCGTGACCTTTATGGAATATTTCAGCTCATCATTTTGTTTCCAGGTGACCGTTCTCCGTTCATTTCCAGGGAAATGGCTTGTCTATGGTTGCCTGCCAGCTTGCAGGGCTTAACTGTAATTAAAGCTTAATTTCTCTTGTCATCTGGACTGGCTGGACAGAGCGTTGCCAGGCACCTGCAGAGGTGGAAACCAGTGACTGGTGGAGGCATGGTATATCACACCAATATGCCTCTCGTTCTGTTTGCCTGTGTTTGTCTTTCTCCCCTCCGTTTCTTTCTGGATCCCGGGTGATGTTAATGTATTTATGGATATACTCACTTTCCTGTCACAGACAATGAGGCAATTATGAACCTCCCTGTCAGTCGCATGTGAAGGCTTTGACTTGGAGTCATTACCACCTTCAAAGTGCTAATTTTATTAGCAGGGTTACTCCACCACAGTGCCACTGCATCATCACTTCTGCTCTGCTGATGTAACATTGCAATCTATTTCTATGAGCAGCACATAAATGGATATTTTCATATAAATTGGCCTTGTCCTCTGAGGAGCCGTCATGGTGAAGTGTGTTCACAGCCACTGCTTCCTTTAGTTCAGAGAGGACGGGAAGGGAAATTAAAAAGAATCAAAATAAATCCGAAATTGATGGCAATTGGTACGGAAGAGATTAGAGAGGATGTGAAGCTTACAAGCAGACCTCGTGGCTTTTTTCTTAATCTTTCGCCAGCAGCTTTAGACTGTTGCCTTCCATTATACAATCATAATCGTCACCTTCTGCTTTTTACAGCACCTTGTCTTTCCATTCCCTAGTGGGAATTGTTGTTGGGAAATAGGAGTAGATGCCGCTACACTTTGCAATCAGTCCTTTGGGTTTATACAGTAAGTTTGATGTGCTGCTGTCTGGTCTTATTGTGTGTGTGAGGGAGAGAGAGAGAATCGACCGACTTCTCTTGTTTTAGCAACAGTAAATCAATAGTTTCTCAGAGTAAAATCAAAGCACATTGTCCAGCAGCTGCAGTTTGTTTCTATTGGATTCTAGGACGGGACTAACATGCCTGTGGGTCTTCCATTGAGTTTATGAAGTCCTGGCACTTTCAAAAAGATGTCTGATTTAAACCCTTGCACGTATAGGCCTATTGCTGATACATTAAACCGCTCATTTCCCCCTGACCCTCTAAGAGAGAGAGAAGAGAGAGAAGAGAGGAGAGGAGAGAGAGAGAGAGCGCTGCATCAACAACTCAACAACTCAACTTGCAGCGGAGGGAGCGGAGAGGACGCATGTGGCAAGGCTCGGCTGGTTTGGTTTGGCTGTGTGCATGGATGTAAAGCCTATTTCTCTCTTTCAGTGGATGCACTGATGTTGATAGGACGTTGGGCTGATAGATAAGGGAAGACACAACTGCTGGCAAACATTACAGTGTCATTTCTGCGCGCGGTATGGACGGTTTGCAGACAGAAAATGCTGGAGTTGGCGGCATCGAGGAAAACGACGAGGAGAGGTATCGCACTCTAGTATATGACACTGCTCTGAGCACGTTGGTGGTTGTGGCCGTGTATGTGGTGGTTAAAGTGAGTCTGGACGGCTTCAGACAGTGGCGGGCCAGGATCTCGGTGCTCATCGTGGGTTCGGGACCTGTGGGGCTGACGGCCGCGCTGGTCGCTGTCCGCTCCGGTAAGGTGCTGAAACTGACCGTGCTGGATGAGAGGTACCGGACTGCCTTGCTCTGCCGGCCCCAGCAGATCGCCTTGGATCCCCGGAGTGTGAAGTTTCTGCTGGGACTCGGAGTGGACTTTGATAACATGGAGGGCTGTTGGCACAACGAGCATTTCTTCACCAGGATAGGCGTGTTTCAGGAGTACCTGCTGAGCATCCTGGAGCAGAAGAAGCTGAAGGTGGACGTCAAGGTGCAGCTGGGAACCAAGGTATAGCCTGTTCACTGACTTCTATACAGTTTGCCAAACCACTATCACGCAGTCTGTATGCAACAGTGATACCTCAAGGCTTTTATGTCAATTCAACACTTAGGGCTTTATGCTCAAAATAATCCCCATGTGCTAGGCTATAAATACTATGTTGCATAACTTCAATTTCCTCTCTCAGCTATTTCATCGATGATACACTGATCTGAAAAATAGTGTGTAATGCCTTTGTGATGAGTAGAGACAGACTTCAAGTCTCATGCTACCTCATTTTGTAATGACATGCCTTCATAGTCAAAACCTGATCCTTCCTAAGTGGTAGCGGTCAAAGGAAAGCGGCTGGTGCATATCCACTTCAGCAGGGATCTGATGGCTATCAGCAGTGATGTTGAAGTCTGTCCTATTTCCAATCAGAAGCCCTTGAGCAAGGATGCCGTCTATACTGTAGCTCACACCTTCCTTTTCTGGCAGTTAGAGAGCCTTTTGATGCTCTCGTCATGTGCCTCGCTTAAAGCACCCTGAAACATAGAAAACATCCTGTGTTTTTCTTACCAAACATTTGTTCATTTGTCATATAGTTGTAGATTTATACTGATTCATACATAGCAGACATCATTATATATGACTTTCTGTAGATCAATATCCTCATTTACACCAGACGTACTGTATATGTATATATCGTATTCTATAATTCTCCCAAAATTACTCATAACATTGTGTAATGTCAGACTGAGTGCGGGCCCATCAGTTGAAATAACCTGTTATGTAAGCTGACCTCAAACCTGAGGAGAATCCTCACTTCAGTTTTTAGGCCAGTGGAGCAGACAAGAGAGAATATAGTAACCAGTCCAAACCTATTATGATCAAAATAATCCTATTTAGACTGATAAGGATTTAATTGCATATTTCTACAACAGCTGTTTTTGAGGATATCCCCAAGCCAAAGACATAGTCAATGAAATTGTACTGTCGTCTGGCACTTGGCCACAAATTGTGATTACTGCATGATGATAAAATCATTAATGTTATCCCTGTTTTACTAAAAACGTTATGTTTATTTGTGTAACCCTCACTGTGGGCTTCATAACACCAAGAGAACAATAGCATGCAAACAAAACCTGCCAGCCAGACCTCAACTTAGAACAAAGAAATAACCTACTAACACAAAAACCTCAAAGGGAGAAGCAACGAGTGATCAAAGTGGGCAAACAATTATGAAATGTTCAGTGAATATTTGTGTCATCGCTGGAAACCAGAGACAAGACTTTATTGCTGCTCTATTAAGGTTGGGCTGGAGTTAGAGCGTCGCTGCAGCAATGCAGATGCTGTGTGACAGTAGAAAACATACTGGTATACGCTATACTTGTGTGTAGCCATGCGCTAGCTCTTCTCTGGCTCTGGCCAGCAGCTTCTTTCCTCCTCAGCTTCAATGTCATTCCTAATAGCTGCTGCTGTCCTCTCTGCTATCCAGTGACTCACCAACCTTTGGAACGTGGCAAACAAGCTCAAAAGGGTCGTTGCTCACAACGAACTTCAGTTTTATTTAGAGTCACTGCCAAGCTGGATATTTCCTTTTGATTAGACGGGACACTATGTTTGATGAATGTTTTTTTTTTCACTCACCCTATCAGTGGTTCAAATGTTTGAACATGCAAAGAGGTGTTTTAAATTACTTGTTATTTGCACTCTTAATGGATTTAACATAGATCTCTTAGGCTCTGAGCCATTACAGCCCCCGAAAGGACATTTTATTCTCCCTTTTATCCTGTCAATTGGCTTTGTCCTGCTCTGCACAGGCAAGTACCTGCTGTTTACTGAGGGGCAGCGATGCATAAACAGGCACAATAATACATATTTTTGAGAGATACACTGTTGCCAAGACGAGCACAACCTCTGGTGCCCATTTTTATGACCTGTGAGGATATATTACAATATAACTTAGCTGTTATAAGATTAATAGCCAGTGGAAGAGGGATGAATCAAATCCTTTGGTTATGTAAAAGTTGTAATAATTCAAATTGTTAGTAATGGAAATTTAAGAAGTGTCCGCAGTAAAATCATATAAAATAAGATTAAAAGTAGTTTTTATTTTCAGAATGTTTCAGAACTATTAAATCTGTAACCAACAATAACTAATAAATGATCAATTGACAAATTGTTTTGAGAACTGATTGATCCTTTAAGTGGATTCTTCCAAATGCAAAACATTATCTAGTTCCAGCTTTTCACTTGTGAGGATTTCTTGCTTTGCTTGCTGCTAACTGTGTATGTTTCTGTTGTCTGTCAATTATCTCTTACTATAAAGACTGTGGTGAAGACAACCTAACTAACTAAGAAAATAATCATTAGTTGCAGCCATTTAATAACCTGTTAAAAATCTTTAGAAGTTGATGTTGGTCTAACTAGCCTACATATATTATCCTAAAAACATATTATGCATAATGATAGATGTTATGTGAATTTAGAATGTTTTGCAAGTAAACCCTCATTCTACTAAATATAGCCACAACTGAAAAAATACAGTATAGTCAGTACAGTTAATATAAAGCTATGAAAATGTAAATTAAACTGTAAATAAAGTTGTAATATCCAATAAACAGCTTTCTTTTGTTTCACTTTTCGTTCATCTCATGTTTCAGTTTACAGAGGAATACCTGCGGCGGATCCAGCGGAATCAGTGGCCGCGTGTGATCGTGGTGGCTGACGGGTCGTGTGGTGACTCCTGCTCGGTGCTGGGCATCAGCTCTGACTACAGCGTGGAGTCCTGCCATGCTTATGGAGCTAATGCAACTATAGAGAGACTAGACCAGAGACAGGTCAGGACACGCATGCACCATCTGTAACGCATACATGAACATACACTAATGGATGCATTCACTCATGTGCACACACTGGGGCAATAACAATAGGTTGCTGTTTGTGTAAAGAATGAAGGCAGTAGAAACAGGATATTGCAGGATATTACAGAGAAGGCGACACTTTATTTGACCTCATAAAGCTGAGTTATGCAAACAGTGATGTGGACCTGCCAATAGCAGCTGAACACAATATCTGACCCTCATATAAACAGCCAGATTACAGCAGACTGTTGAATCTCGGCAGTATCAACACTGGCCCTATTTTGATTTACTCATTGAATTTGATGAGAGCAACTGTTGTTCTGACTGGGATGATAAAGCTTGTGATTCATTATGCCCCCCACCCCCCTTGCCAGACTCATAATCTGTTCCCTGCCAGGTGAATATCAAAGATATCAAAACATCAGCTGCCATTTTTTTCCACGTAGTGCGACAAAGGTCACTTGACATTATAGATGCAGATGGTTCTTTGACTGAATGATGTCAGCAAGAGACCCAGAAAACACTGAATAGATACATATGGAACACTTTTACAGAGTAAAATTGATTTAATTAATTATTTCGTTGACTGTGTAATAATGAACTTCAGATTAAGAAATAACGACAGAAAATAAGAAATGTCCCATCCCTGCTGGTCCATTGAACTGGAGACATTGAAATGCAGACAAATGACATTTACAGCAGTAGTCTGCTCCTTATCCTGCACAGATAACCAGACATTAGCTATTGTTGATCATCCTTTTGTTCATAGAGATTGACTTGTGTGGACGAAAGGTTGCTCTTACGATTAAATGCAGTGACAATCTGTACAGAAGAAATGATTAGTTTGGAGAAACAAATAAACAGGTTGAGGTGAAAAGCTTTCGGGCCCATATTGTTTAATATCTGAACACAAGCATGGTCTTCATTGCTTTTTTTATGCCACCATAACCATTCATATCACGTTCTCTGAAGAGGCTCGGTGGCTGCCTTTTATTGGAGCCTTTTCTCCCTGGCTGTTTCCTGTAATGATTGAATTTACCTCCCAGGAATATGACCTGGTCATCCCCATCAGCCCTCCCCTCCTGCCCATCCCTCCCATCCCCTCCCAGTTGTGGCTCTTTCCCATGGCTATCTACTTTGGTTGCTCTAAATGCTGTTTGATCCAATGTGGCTGGTTTATGTCATTGAAAAGAAAATTGATCAATTCTGGCTTAAGGGAAAATGAGGAGTAACTGCCAGGCTCAACCACTGAATAAAAATCATGTTACTCTTAATCTCCACTCAAGTGACTACAGCCCCACAGGCTGACATGTAATGTTCTATGTCTTTTCAACACATAATAGGGTGCATGCATATCAAGAATTAGATTTACTAAGCAGGTATATCGTATTGATTTATTGTTGTCCAAAGTGACGGTATCAAATATTACATTAATCTCACTGCTGGTCCTTGTATATTTTGTTATATCTGAAATTATTTGATCCAGTGTCTTTTCTTCTTTTCCCTCTCTCTCTTAACTTCAGGTACCCACTCCTGAGATCCGTGCCCACCGCCTCTACTTCGACCTGTCCGCTTACGGAGTGGAGGCCCTCCGAGAGCCCCGAAATCCCACGGCCAAACCTGGCTTTCACCTCAAGATCTATGGCACCTTCAGAAATCGCTACCTGGCCCTCGCCTGCCCCGCATCTGACACCAAGATGGTTCGCTTCCTCAGGCACACGGCCAACTCCTCTGTGAGACTCTTGTCCTTATTTTATTTTTTAAAAAAATAAAAAATTCTGAGCATTGTTACCTATTGTTGTTGATAAAGAAGTATGACGAATACGCAGCTGTATTTCCATGTTAATACACTATTGTGGGAGTTAGTGTCCTTATGTATGTTTGCGCGTGAGCGAGTGTTATTTAAATGTGAGCGTGTCTGAGCCAAAGAAAGCAGGAGATGAAGAAATGTGGAAAGAGGGGGAGGAGAAAGTAGAACGTGTGTGTGTGTGTGTGTGTGTGTGTGTGTGTGTGGAGGCCATTTGTATGCTGCTGTTACACATCAGTGAATAAATGGATAGTAGGATGTTTTGTTCCTGTGCTAAACAACAGGCGTGGGTGCATTTACAACCGATGGGCAGTCTGTGTTTAATTTAAACTCTCTAGGTTTATTTGTCAAGAAGTCTCCTGCTTTGGTCAGGCATAGCCTGTAGTCACAACATGTAATACACACAGGTACATACATAGCAAGACCATCCTCGGAGCGCTTGTTGCTATGTGGGTGGCCATCAGATGCACTGTTACTTGGTAACAGATGACTGTGCAAGTATGGGTCGAAGGAGAGCAGAGTTTAGCGGAGAGAAAGAGGCGGAGAGAGCATGAGAGGCTTGTCACTCAATACCCACAATTACTGTAGAATCAATGAGAAGGCACACAGCAGCTATTCTTCACTTGGAATTAGGCTGCAACCAATTCATTTTTATTATTGATTAATTGCTTTTGTTATGAAATGTAAAAAAAATGACAAAGAAAATCAATGGAAATCACAGTTTACCACAATCCAAAAAGATGTCTTCAGAATGGTGTTATTTTCCAACAGACAGTTCAAAATCAAGATATGCTATTTAATATCATAAAAGTTTGTTTTACTTCAGATTCAACTTTATTTTCATTGCACAAGTACTAGTACAACGGGATGCAGTTTTAGCATCTGACCAGAAGTGCAAAAAGAAGCAGTAAGGTGCTTGTAAAATGACTGAAACATGTAACTTGATGATCATTGTAGTTGCAGATAAATCTTCTGTCGATCAACAAATCGATTAATTAGCTATAGTTGTTTCAGCTCAGTCATGATGCGTCTTTCCATTTCTCTCATCCCAGAGTATAAAACGTTGTATGTAAAGACTCATCAACAGTCTTTGTGAAGTGATTGATGCTAGAAATGATCTGTCTCTGTTTTGCTGCCCAGATCATGAAGAACATTTTCCACCAGTCCTTCAATGTTTATAAGACGGACATAGAGCCTCGTCTCAACGACGTGACGCTCCACCATATGCAGTGCAGCCGCCGTCTTTTTGAGATTCAGCTATCACACAGACGCATCAGCGCTGCCTTCATAGAGGGCGACAATGTGGCAGTCACTGTGGAGGGGGAGGCGGCACGCGTCCTCAACTTCGACACAGGTACATCTGTCTATAATATACCAGTTATTGTGTTGCTGAAAATAGGAGAGCGTCCTTGCCCAAAACCCATACAAGATTCTGATAAGTGCCATCTTTTCTATCCTCAAAGTATTGCTGAAGGTGAGGCGAACCATCAAGCAGAACCCAGAGCACTTTGAATAAATGAGAAATAAATGAGATGGAAATTAAAGAGACGCAAGGAGAGGATGAATTATTTTGTATGCGTGCAGTATGTCTGTGCGAGTCATTACTGCACTCAGTGGCCTTTCAGCTGACGCTTATCTAGTTTTGTTTTCATGCTGCTCTATGTTTATTTATGTGCTGCCATTTTCTTTTCATGCCATAACTATATCTTCAAGGCTACAGTTTACTATTTGTCTGCGAAATAATTATCAATATAATTGTTATCATGAACATGTTTGGCTGAGATAGATGTTATTTGATGCGTGTATGACGTCTGTGATTTATGTTCTCCCTTTCCTTTTCTTTTATTCCCTCTCCTCTTCATCGTCCTCTTCATCCTCCAGGTTGTGGAGTGAATCTAGGTATGCGAGGTCTGGAGTCAATGGGGACGTTCATTTACCGGACAGCCACCGCTGTGGACCAGAATGATATTCTAGAGGCGCTGTCGGCTAAAATGCAGCACTCCAGACAGGTGGCTGAGACATTCAAGCAGACAGGCCTGCCTCAATCAATGTATGAATGAAACACGAGGACGGCCAGGTGAATGCATGATGCCACCTAGTGGGAAGAGGTGATGGATTATTTGTGTTTACACTGAATATTTACAGGAAATCATGAGCCTGATGTTGAAATGGCCACTAATTGTTACATACTGTATGGAGATGACCGAGCGTGAGCTGTGAACAGATGGATGATGGGTGTAAAGATGTGACCCTAAGTCTTTGTGACATACGATGGGTGACTCTATTCATCATGGATGGAGCGAGAAAAGTCAAGGCCACATTTGGTACAAAACATTTGAAGTTGTTTTGTTTTTCAGGTTGCAAAACGTGTTGATACAAACTGTGGCAGAAAGAGATGCAATATCTTCGAATGTTGAAATGAAACAACATACAGTACATTGACTAATAATGAACTGCACTGGATTTGGATTTCTCTGTTCAGTGTGAGAATGCAGGGGAATAAGATTAGGAGTAGTTGGAACAAATGAAATGTTTTTCATCACTCTCATCTTCTCCTTTTATTAAGGAAAGAATTGACTTGATTTCCAAAATCTAGCCGATTGTGTTCTTTGGACATCAATGAGACTGTGGAGTAGCATCTAGTAGCAACGTGTACTTGATGTGTAGGTATTTTCACTCACTTTTCTCCAAATACCTCCACAACATCAAGTACACGTTACCCCAGTAAAAATGCATATTTCCTGGGTAAAGTACCTCCAGAACACCTCCCTGGACTGCCTGGATGAATTTATTTCTCGTTTTCTTTCTAAGTGTTTTCAAACTTTAACTTTTTTTTTTTCTAGCTAGAGATGAATCATGTATAAAACTGTTATTGTCCGTGATTCAACAGAGAAACACAAGTGTAGAATCCGATAATTGTGGTGATGACGTTGTAAAGTATTTGCTAGGGTGCCCTTTTCTGTGTGCTTTTAGGGTACTGCTCCCATACAGTGGGCCAACTGTAGTATCACAAATGTCACTGTTTACTTTTCATTTTTAAATGTTGCTTCTAAGTGATCTAGAAGAACTCAAGTATCACCCCTAAAAGTACATTATTTCAGATGGAGAGTATGCTGGTAATAACATCCTGCTCCTATTGAAGTGCCAATAAAGATGCTGATTTGGCATAAGTTATATGGATGGTCTTTACTTGAAACTCTTGTATTTGTTTAATTAGACATTAAATGTAATTTAATAAAGAGTAAAGAAACCAAAATGTAGTAACTAGTCAGACCAAACTGTCTGCAAATTAAGATAAAAATAATGAAATCTTCGAAAACAGACTTATCTGTTGAGCTCTGTCGGTGTCTGATTACTCATCAAGTTTTACAAGCTGTTGTGTAAATAACTTAATATTTGTGAGCTACACCCCCTGCAGACAGGACAGTGTAACGTGTTGTTTCCATAATGGCTGATATGAGGCAGGACCGTCCTCTAGTGGTGTAGCCTGTCTGTTGCAGCTGCTGAGCCTCAAACGTCAATACCTCTCAGCCCTGTTTGTTTAGGACGATTTATTTGGTATTTAATGAATAAAAGTAATCGACCCCTCACATGTAACTTTGCTTAAGGTCACCAATGGAACTGACAGGGACATATCTTCCTATAGGACACAAGTTGCTTTTCTGGTTTTCTTTTCTTTTGTGAAGCACTTTGTAACATTTTTTAGAGAAGTGCTACATAAATAAATATTATTATTTTTATTATTATTGTGTATTTTGAGGCTTTACCGATCAATGTTGTTTGTGAAAATCCTATTTCTTTTCAATTATTTTAAAACACAATACAACCATATGACTCCTGTGCCTTCTGCAGTCACATGCTTCATTGCATCTGCATGCAATACCTCAAGGGTGGAGATAATGCAGTCGCTTAATATAAATCACTGAAATACAGTCATTTATGGAAATGTTTTTTCATTTAGTTTCTTGTCTGAGGTGTCGTTGGAGTAGCCTCCTGCTGCTCAATAGATACAATCAAACACAGGCAGGATGAGGAGTTAAAAAGACTTCTGTTAGCTTCTCTTGACTCGCGACTCGATGAAACAACCATTCACCTTCATGTCTCTGGGATGTGCTGTGAAGCGATGAACAAAGTTGTAATGCAGCAAATAAGTAAAACATTTAACATCACATTCATCATCTAAAGCGAAAAGCCAGTGTACAGTATTTAAAAAAATCTGTAATTCTACCTTTACTTAAGTATTTTTAAAACAGTACTTTGACAAGGCTGGGTCCAGGTGCACGCTGGGTCTTAAGGGTCTTAACCTGCTAAATATTATGCTGTTCATGATGAACCCTCCAGCAGTGACGATAAGTGCTGAAGTGACTACAGAGCCTCATTCAGCTCAAATGTCCGAACACTTTGAGGAGTGCAGTGGGCCAGAGAGAGTGGACTGGTTATAGTGGAACAGAGAGGCTGAGTGTACCGCTTTAACAATGAAAGAGCAGAGAAGTATAAACTTGCAGATGTTTCCGAGTCATTCAGACAGGTGAGTGTCCTTCATTATCAGACCACATGCCGAAGTGCCCTGGCTTGCATGGGGTTCGGATCACAGTGAGGTGTGGGAACAATCTATAGTTTATCAAACAGGTCGCACGTCATCTTCCCCTCCAGCCTCAGGGCAGTTTGTGAAAGAGTCACAAAAGATGTGTTGACCCACCACACGAGACTTCCCGAGTTAATAAGTTAAGATTTTTATTTATTTGAAGGGTTGTTTGCCTGGAATGAGTATTTTTCTCTCGTCTCTGTCCTCCAGAAGACGCTGGAAGAGCAGAAGCTCATCAGAATCAGCTGACATCTCCTAGAGGAGCTCTAAGGCCAGAAGAGGATGCTGAACGAACTCGACACTCGACACTTTGATTATTGTTTCAGTAAGTATAGTATATGCAATAAAAAAAGTCAAAATATAAGTATGTGTATATAGGATGCCATAAAAGACTCATAGCATAGTATGTCATATGCCGGTAAGCCGTAAAAAGATCATAGTATATTAAGTCATATAAAAATTATTAAAATGTAATATTTTATGCGGCCATTAAAAAAGGCAGTATGTCATCTAAAGTCATAATATTAGAGGTCATAAAAATATCACTCAAAAGTCAAAGTATAGTATGCCATAAAATACCTCAGAAATATACAATAATTTATGGCATTCAAGTATCATTTAAAGAATCATAGTATAGTATGCCATAAAAGTAATGAAAATATCAATGAAGAAAATCATAGTAAATGTTGTCATACAAAAGTCATGATACTGTACTAACAATTGCATTAATAGAGTTAGTCATAGGCCATAAAAGAGTAAATATATCATAGTATGCTATTGAAAATGTCAATCCTTTGCTGGCTCCCTATATTGGCACTCACTCATCAACATTTTGAGAACCCCTGTTGTAGTCGTCGCTATTGTATTTGTTGTAGTAGATGCAAACTCTTATGTCCTCCTCTTCATTTCTCACTAGATGAGTGCAGAGTTCCGGACCCAAACTGATGACGACGTTGTTTCTTCACTTCCTCCAACACCGGGTTACTGCACCACATAAGGATCAAACCCACAGCCTCCAGCCTCCAGACCAGTCTTCTATCATCCTGAGCTTTTTGATTTGAGATGTTTGGCCGCTCTTGCCTAGAGCTTTTTAGCAAGATAGGGGAGCTAGGATTCCACTGAAGACTTTTGTTGTAGTTTTCACCTTTTCTTGTTGAGGCCACTTCTTTGGTCAGATATTATAATTATAATATTATAATATAATTTATCCAGCATGCTCTACTTCTGATGTAATCGTTCATTTATAATTTGAAGCTCTCTGATTGGTTGTTTTTTTACAGCTGTGCTCTCTGGGACCTGAAGTTAAATCATTTATTTAACTTTTGAAAGCAGAAAATGTCTGACAGTTTGTACTGAGGATTTCTTTGTTCATCCAAGAGTTATTTTTCTATGCTGAGTGCACTGGCTTCATGCTTTAACACTCCTGTTGTAAATTGTTAATTTAATAAAAGTTTTAAAATTGGATATAAAAAAAAAATTGGATTTTTGTAGCTTGTGAAATTGTGAAGTAAACCTACTTTTTAAAGTGTCCTTTTACTAAGAAGTGTTGATGATTTAAGTTCTTATATCAAGCTAATTTTGAAGCGATTTACAGTAGTACCGTTACATTACTGCATTCAACCATGTGGATACAACCCCACAATGGCAAGACAACTTTGGAAGTCAACTTTAAGCTGAATTTCTTCAAGTGCTATATTTAGCAACAATAAGAGAAAATAGAAAAGAAAGCCACACATTTGAAAGATTTTTTAATGAGAAATGACAGACTCCCATGTGTATATTCATTCATCTAAGTACATTCATACAGCAGAAGAAAACAACATGAATGAAAAAGAGTGAAGAAACCGCACTCATCTGGAGAGATCGAAAGAAAAGAAGAAATTGCACCTCATTCAAATATATATTTGACAACTGCTACTACTACAACAACAACTTCTACAATCACTCCTACATCAAATACAACTCCTACTATACTGCTGCAACAACTACAACTACATCAGCTAATAGCTATTACACTAAGATGTTTTTTTGACATTTTTTATGGCATACTTTATGACCTTTTTTATAATATATTATATAATGACTTATTTTATGATTTTTTATGACGTTTTTATGAAGTATCATACTATGATGTATTTTATGACAATTTTTCATGGCATAATATTCTATGACGTTGTTTAGGACATTTTTGTGACATACTATACTAGGACATATACTATGACACGTTTTTAATGGCATACTGTACATTTTTTATGACACTTTGCTGGCATACTATACTATAGTATGCCATACTATACTATACGACATTTATACGTGACATTTTAAAGGCCTACTCTTCTCTGACATTTTTATTGAAATTTGAATGGCATACTATTTCATGACATTTTTTTAAAGACACTTTTATACTATCACACATTATAAGACATTTTTTATGAATTGTTAATGGCGTACTATACAATGACATGTTTGTGGTATTTCTAATGGAATACTAATCTATGAATTTTGTACGACATCATACTGGGAAGTGTTTTATGACATTTGTTTATGGCATGCTATAATTTGATGTTTTTAATGACATTCTTATGGCATACTTTACATGACTTTTTCATGTCATTTTTATGACGTACTCTATGAATGAAAAAAAAAATCCAATTTTCCAATTCCAATTGCATACTGTACTATGACAATTTCACGACATTTCTTTTGAAAATTGAATAAAATAAAATACAAATATAATACTTTGCTGTATTGTATGGTATTCTTCATGGCATACTATGCTATAATATTTGTAGAACGTTTCTATCAAATATCGTACTGTGACATTTTGAATGACATTTCTTTCTTGCATACTGTACTAAGACTTTCTCCAAGACACTTTTATGACATACTATACGATGACATATTTGATTACACTTTTTTAATTGCATGCTGTACATGATGTTTTTATGGCATACTATACTATGACATAAAACACGTTTTCATGACATACTATACTATGACATTTTTTATGATATTATGATATTTTTTTGGCATTGTTTATAGCATGCTATACTATGACTTGTTATTCTATGATTTTCATGAAGTTTTAATGGCATACCATACTATGACATTTTTAATGATATTTTAATGGCATATACTATGACATTTTTTACAACAATGTAATGGCATACTATACCAAACATTCTTGGCATTTTTTATGGTATATTATACTGTGACTTTCTCAGAACATTTTCATTAAATATTATACTATGACTTTCTTTATGACAACGTTTTCTGGCATACTATACATTGACATTTTTCATTGACATTTTGATGGCATATTATACTATGACATTATTAAATTCAATGGCATAGGACATTTTTAATGACATTTTCATGGGATAATATATCACGACATTTTTATGTGGCATTTTTTATGACATACTATACTACCATTGTTTTAATGACATGCTATACTATGACTATTTCAAGACGTTTTAATGACATTCTGAACTGTAACGTATTTCATGATACTTTTTTTGGCATACTATACACTGAAAAATCTTGGCATGCTATACTGTGACTTTTTATAGAATAGTATACTGCAATATAAAATAAACTTTTTATACCTCTTCTCATCTCATCTGCATGTCCTCATCTCCATCCAGTCAGATGCTCCTCCCCCAACACTACATGTCTTTTCTCTCAGAACCAACAACTAAGACAAATGAGTTCCCTTAATGGGCTGGAATTTCAACTTCAGGTATTCTGCAGTTCTGGAGATCTGAGACGATGATATTCTCAGGAAGTGTAAATCAAGCTGAATGATGTCTGAATGTCTTTGTCTGTTACAGACCACAACCTATAATCTCAAGTTCATAACGAAGCCGAAGAGGCAACTGAATTTAAAACGTGTTTTAAACAATAAACACAACGCAAGCTGGTCATGAAAAATGTATTCAGCACAGAGAAGATGCTGTCTTAGTTGACCTGTTTAATGTTCTTCTTCTTCACTTTAATAGACTTTATAGTTATTTTCAAAGTTAGTTAAGTTCATCTGATATTTAATTT